TCCCTTATACGTAGTTCTAGGGGCTCTCTAGGCTCTTCCTACTAACTATATATCGGTAAGGGCGATAAGAGAGGTCTCTAGGTATTAACCTATAACTCGTTTCTTTCCTATAGCTATTTCTAGGCTTTCTTATTTAATATCCTATTTAATTTATATATCGCGGTATCGTTTATATGGATCTCTTAATCCTAATCGGTACGTCCCCGATTAGGCTTATAGCGTAAGTATAAGGTCTATCGGTATCTTCGTATAGTAATTAAGGATATCGTAACACCTTATCGGTTAGGGAGGAGAAACCTTCCTAGGTACCGTAACTAGCTAGCAGGGATAAAACAAGGGCGATCGGATGGCAAGCCTCTTACGGTTGAAATAAACTAATTAATAACGAACGGATGCCTTCAAGCGCGTGTTATAAAAAAGGGGTAGTAGCGGTAACTTAGTTAGATTAACTAAGGGCGAAAAACTGCTATCTAGGTACTATTAAAAACGAAGGCGAAACCGGGTAAAAACGGGCATAGCTCCTTTAAAAGAGATAATTAAAAAACGAGGATAAGATAGATCCACTAATCGGCGAACGAGCTTTTAAGTAAGCTAATTAAAAGCTAATAGGAGGGCGTAGGTTATTAATAGTCGCTATGATTATCTGCCCTTCCTATTGATCCAGCTACCTAAAAAGGCTCAAAAGCTAAAAGCCACGAAAAACGGCTCTGGAGCTACGAAAATAGCTCCTGATTAACTAAAAAACAGGGAATCTCCTAATCGTCGTATCCTAAACCTATTAACTATAAAACGGTCGATTAAAAGGTCGCTCCTAAGGCTGAGGTAAGGACGAGCTACTAGGTGGTTGCTACTAAATAGGAGCAGCGTAGGCACGCTATAATGGAGGTACGAAATAAGGGACTGCCTAACTACTAATAACTAACCTAGTGCCGATTAATTAAGATTATAGCTATAAATAGCTGTAATCGTTAATCGGCCAGCTGAAAACGGCAGCTCGGAAAGGGAACTGGAAAAAGAGCAACGAGGATCGCTAGAAAGGCATGGCAAGAAACGAGTAAATGGCTGTAGGTCGTGATATCTACAGGTCTAAGTCTAACTGATGAAAATATGAGTGCGCGACCCATATAAATACACATCGAAAAGGCTACGTGGCCTAGATCCACCGCACCACTATAGTACGTTATAATAAAGGCATGAGAAAAGGACTGCCTAACTATTAATAACTAGCCTAGTACCAATTAACCTAGATTATAGCTATAAATAACTACAATCGGTTAATCGGCTAACTAAAACGGTAGTTAGGAAAAGACTAGAAAGAGAAGGTAAGAAAAGCGAGAAAAAGCATAGTAAGAAATGAATAAATAGCTATTAGGTCGTAATGCCTATAGGTCTAAGTCTAACTAATGAAAATATGAATACGCGACTCATATAAATAGACATCCAAAAGGCTACGTGGCCTAGATCTACCGCACTACTATAATATATATCGAGAGATTACTTTGAAAATTAAATAATAATAAATAGGAGCAGCGTAGGCACGCTGTGATGGAGGCACGAGAAAAGGGCAACCCAACTGCCAACAACTGGCCCAGTGTTGATGGAACCTAATCACAGCTCTAAACAGCTGTAATTGGTTGATCGGCTAGCTGAAAACGGCAGCTGAGAAAAGGACTAAAAGGGAAGGATGGCAAGAGGCTAGAAAGGCATGGCAAAAGGAGTGAATGCTGTTGGTCGTGATGCCTATAGGTCTAATTCTAACTAATGAAAACATGAGTCCGAGACCTATATAAATACATATTCAAAAGGCTACGTAGCCTAGATCCACCGCACTACTATAATAAAAGAAAGCTAGTTAAAGAATTACTAACTTTTATAATATAGCGGAAAGTTCTTTTAAGTAAGTCGCTTTTATATATATATGAACGAGCATAAAGATAATTAGCGCCGGGTAAATCGTTCTCGTACGAGCCCGGCTATATCGGCGTTTGTTATTTTCTAAAAAATTAAGCTTTTTTCTTTTAGTAATGTAGTGGTGCGGTGGATCTAGGCCACGTAGCCTTTTCGATGTGTATTTATATGGGTCGCGCACTCATATTTTCATCAGTTAGACTTAGACCTGTAGATATCACGACCTACAGCCATTTACTCGTTTCTTGCCATGCCTTTCTAGCGATCCTCGTTGCCCTTTTTCCAGTTCCCTTTCCGAGCTGCCGTTTTCAGCTGGCCGATCAACGATTACAGCTGTTTACAGCTGTGATCTTAGGTTGATCGGCACTGGGCCAGTTGTTAGCAGTTGGGCAGTCCTTGTTTCGTGCCTCCGTCAGCGTGCCTACGCTGCTCCTGTTCAGTAAATTAATTTCTTATTAAACTTTAATTAATTACGACGGGGTATACATAAGGAATAAGATGTCACGGTTTTACGAGCTGTTCGTTGGGTAAAAGCCGTATATTGATGAACTAAAGCTAAAGGAGGAGAAAAAGGAGAAAGAGGTGCGCCGTGTAGGCTGTACCTATAATAGCTGGCCTTATCCTCCGTGGGTGCTGAGGGCTTGATTACGTGTTATGCCCTAGTACTAGCCAGGGCTTTATAATGGGCATAGCCCATAACATAAGAAGAATATAGTTATTAAGCTTCATAGCTTTTTCGATAAATAAACCTTATTAATAAAGCTAACATAATTATTTATAAATGGCTTTGAAAATTTAAAAAAGAAAAACACAGGATAAAAGAGAGTTTACGAGGATAGCTCTTAACAAGTACAGCTTTTAAATATATTATTAAATAGCTTTAAATAACGTAAAAGTATCCGTATAGTAATGAAAGAAGGCCTTTTTTCCGTTCGTTTCTTAAGGGCGAGTTTTTATAATAAAATAACTCGCCGTCATTTATCTCTTAAGAACGAAATCGAAAGGGTAAGAAAAGAAAAGAAGAGCTTAGAAGCTTTCTTACCGTACCTCACTACCCGTATATTAAACGGACTTTAGAGTAAACGGTAAGAGAGCGGTAGGAACGCTTTAAAAGTAACGCTTTTTAAATTAGTAGAGCTTTCCAGGAAGTTCAAAAACCTACGATCAGAGAGTTAATTAGGTATCTTTAAAAGTAGTTTTAAAAATCCTAAAAGTAACTCCTTTTAGGGGTAGTTGATTTACGATTAGAGAATTAATCAACCTTATTCGAAAGTTATTATCAATCTATAATACCGTTAATTAATGAACAATTTATAAAACTCTTAATATCGTTAAAGCTTCGGCATTAAATAGCTTACGTCGAGGTTCGGGCCGAGCTTTAAAGTTTAACTTAACGGATTACTTAACTTAAGTATCTTAAGAAGTTACGATAATTATTTGTAGCGTTTTATAAAACGACGTATATATTAATAAATTCTTAATATACGTCGTTTATTGTAGGTAATTTATTAAAAAACTTATAGCATTCCTTGATACTGAGTAAGTTGCTTTCGTACGAGCCTGATAGATTTTACATTCTAGCTTCTTTTCTTTTCTTACCTTTTTAGATTATTTTAAAAAAGAAAGGAGCTCGTAAAAAGGAGATAGTACTTTAGGAAGCCTCAGCGTTTACCGTATAGTAGAATACTATTACGGCAAAGAGCTAAAGTTATTACTTTAGGAGCTTTTTGAGAAGCGACTTCTTATTATTAAGCTCTTTCCTTCCCCTTTAGTTTCTAATTTCCGACTTTGGATTAACTTTTAAATCAAAATGAATTAAAGTTTATAGCTAGTTAATTAGAAGCGATACCAAAACGAGGTTACTTATTAAAGCGTTTATTTCGTTTATTGAAACGTAAAATAGTTAAAAAAAGGAAAATAAATTAAGAGACTTTCTAACTACCTTCTGCTACTTACCCTATCACTCAATTTAATCGAGCTTTAAAGCGAGCGATAAGAAAGCTATAAATTAAGCAGTAGAAAAAAGTCAAAAAAAATAAAGCTCTAAGAACTCGTACGCGCCTCGCGGCTTTGAGAAGGTTTTTAAAGTGTTAATTAGGCTTATAATTAATATGTAGATTGTGGAAGCTACGTAGGCGAGAGCGCACGAGGAACTATCTTACGAGTAACGAGTAATATGAAAAGGAATAAAGAAGAAAAGGTCTTATTTTATTTAAAAACTAGTTAAAGGAATAGAAGTAACGGAAGCATATATATAGAAGCTCTTATTATTGATGTAAGCAACGAAGAGGCGCAACCTCTACGTAATAATTTTAATATTTTATTAAATAACTTTTATATTTTATTCTTTTTTCTTTTTAAACTTTCTTTTTATTCAATAAAGTAGTTATTAAAACTTTAAAGCTATAAGAGAAATTAAAATATAATTTTTGTCACATAGAGAGCCACCTATACATGGCTCCTTACTTCTTCTCTAGTTGCTCGCTTACCTAACCTAGCTCCCAGCTCGCTTATGTAACATAGCTCGTAGCTTTCTTTCGTCTATATATAGGTAGCTCGCATCTCCTTTGTTCATCTCTTTCCTTCTGAGATAGTTAGTTAATTCACCTTCTTCTTCCTACCTTCCGTTGCTCCCAAGAAGCAACCTCAGTGCCTACGTAGCTCTCCCGATCTACGTAATATTTTTATATTAGATTCTTCAGCTAATAATTAATAACTTTATATTATATTAAATTATTTTATTTTTGCTATGATATATATTATAATTATTTATAAAATGTATTTTAGTATTCACTATTTAGAACTCCAATAATATATATGCTTGAAGATTTTTTTATCTGTTGATTATTTCTTTTTTGAAAAAAAAATCCATTTTATAATTTTATTTTGTTATTATTTTTATAAATATTTTTAACATGTTAAAACCTTTTTATTATGGAATTATACTTAAATGTATAATGAAATAAATAAATAAATAATAGATTATAAATAGTAATTTTATCTTGACTTAGTTTCTCTATTATAATTTCTATTAATTAATATATTAATTGAAACGTCTAGTTCCTATTACTAGTACTTATATTGCCTTTGCTATTACCGTCGACAACACACAATCCTGCCAAAGCTGATTATTTCCCGTCCATTTCTCTCTCCTCCCTTCCCTTTAATCCTGACGCATTCAGATGAGACCTCGGTCGTGAACCTGGGTTTGTACCCCATAGGGCAACATCCAGTTCGACCTTAGTCCTAAGCCATGATCTCATTTTTTTATCATGGCACATCTCTCTTCCGCAGCAGCTTCAAGCCTTGTCCGGCCGCGGATAGCCATCGCCCTTGTGTCTGTCATTACCGCTGTCTCCTTAGGCTACTACTATTATCACCACATCCATAATCTCTCTTCAGACCGTGACTCCCCCGAGACTACACCCGACCTCCGCCGGCGGAATGCTGTGCGACGCCCTCATGGTCCATCGCAACGTCCTGACTCCTCCTCGGAATCCGAGTCGCACGGCGATGAGAATGCGGATGTGGGTGCGTCGACTCCCCCCCCCAATCCTCCGGCGCATACCGACGACCAGGGCCCTGAGGAATGGTACAACGATAACAGCCAGGCCCCACGGCAGCGCACCGGCGAGAACATAGTAACCCTGTTATTCCGAGTGTCTGAGGACAATGCTAGGCGTAACGCCTATGTTCATCGTGGCTGTCAGTGTAACGGATGTGGGATGGTTCCTATTCGAGGAATCCGCTATCGTTGCGCTAACTGTGCCGACTTCGATCTGTGTGAGGTGTGCGAATCCCAAGGCCTTCACAACAAGACACACGTCTTTTACAAGGTGAAGGTGCCAGCCCCGCCCTTTGGGACTCGCCACGTGCAGCCAGCCTGGTACCCAGGCGATCCCGATAACTCCATACGTAACCTGCCCCGCTATCTCCTCTCAAAGTGGTCCCATGAGACGGGGTTTGAGCGCGTTGAGCTCGATGCCTTCTGGGAACAGTGGACCTTCATGGCCAACACGGAGTGGAGAGATGACCCAGACGGTCTCGGCTTAGCGATGGACCGGAAGACTTTCGAGCGTTGTCTCGTCCCGTCCGGCGGTTACAGGCACGCAGCGCCTAACCTCATCCACGACCGCATGTTTGCATTCTACGACACCAACCACGACGATCTTATCGGTTTCGAAGAGTTTCTACACGGTGTGTCTTACAGGAAGAGAAAGGACAAGCTCAGGCGGACATTTGATGGCTACGATATCGACGGCGACGGTTACGTGAGTCGACGGGATTTCCTACGCATGTTTCGGGCGTATTATGTGCTTTACAAACAGATGCACAAAGATATCCTCGAAGGCCTCGACGATCATATGATGACTACTACAGAAGCTCAGCAGCTCATCAATGGTAGGCAACCGCTAAGCGGTCTCTTCGGTAGAGAGGGCAGGGTCCCCCCAGCGGACCACTCGAGACCGATGGAGGGCAAAATCTTTCGGTCCAATGGAGGCGTCGAGGTAAACGATGGCAGAGGTGTCGTTAATGAGGACAAACCGGACACATCTAGCCGTGAGGAGATACTAAGTAGCTTGTTTACTCGGAATGGCAACCGAAGCCTGTTCACTGAGTCGTTCGGCCCTGCCTCCAGGAGACCCCAATCACCACACGGTGATGCCCGCTACTGGTCCGGAATCGTCAATCCTCCTCAGACCGTGGTTGACCTGGAATCATTGTTCTCAGGAAACTACACCCAACTTCATGACATTCTCGAGTCGATCCGCCATGAGGAGCAACGTACGTTGAGCGACGATGCGGGGAGCATTTCGTCTGGGGAGGATGGCCAGAGCCAATGCGAGGGCCAAGACGCAGATGATGCCGACGAGGAGCACCCCGAACCCACGGGCACGCCTGAGTTTACACGATCTGCCGCCGCCCGAGCTATCCCAGATGCCAGCAGATTCACCAACACATTGCCAACAGAGAGCCAACTTCGAGTGCAGCATCAAGCTATCCTGGCTAACGGCCGTCGACTAGACATTGACAAACGGAAAAGAGTGGTGGCTAGAAGGCAGCTCTATGAGAGGTGGAAGCGGCGTCAATTTTATCTCGACGAAGAAGAAGGTGCCTTACCTCCGCAGGGCTGGGACGAGAACCAAGATGTCTTACTGAATATGAACGCCGTCGCCGAATCGTCCAAATCCGCGCCTCATTTCTTGTCTCCGCGGTCAAGGTCGTCCTCCAAGGTGCGCTTTGCCGAAGATGCGGACGACTTCGAGACTAGATCTAACATATCCACCTCTTCACGGAGTGTGCCTGAGAGGTGGGGGGGGATGGAAATACCGGATTCCGAGCGAGATGCGGGCAAGGAAATCCTCTATCAAGTTACTCAGCAGGCTTTCAATGAGCTGCTAGACGAGATTTTCAAGAAAAAGGAAGATCTGGCTGTCCAAGCTGCCGAGACTAGGGAACAACGTGAGAAACACAGGGACCTTTTTGACGCGATTATCCTGGATGACGAAGACGACGAATCAGCCAGCCAGCAGTCGGAGGAGCGACCCATGCATGACTCAGATGCTAGCCGCCCAACACGACAGCAAAATCAGCACGAATCGTCGGCTAGCCGCTACCAAACTAATCAACCCGACTCAGAACTGCCCCCAACGACTTCGGCCAGGGATGTACAGAACACAGAGGATCGGACAAGGGCGATTGGGCAAGCCGATGTCCTGCAGATTAGCCCGGGACCCTCCGAGTCTCTGGAATATAGAGATCCTACTCTTCCTCAGAACCGTCCAAACCATCCTACGCCGATGCCGGGTGAACCGGGAGACCAGACAATCGCCAGCTGTCGTGATGCCCCTGGACACACTCGGACGGTGGGAGTGAAGGCTTCTAAACCTAAGTCACCGGAGCAAATACCACATTCTACGCTTGTGTCGTGGAAGCGACTCGACGTCGCTGAACAGGAAGCCAGGGACCGGGGTGGATGGGGTCGGCTAAATTATAAAGAATTTGAGGAGATATACCGCGAACACGAATTCAATGATAATGGCCGTAATCGGCTCGATTATTTGGGTAGCTGGATCGATTTCTGTATTCCATAGGACGTCATGCTGTGACGATGCCCCCTCAATACTCTCCAGGTCTGGGGTGAATGGCAAGGTTCTATGATCCCTGCCAGCTCAGCCTATATGCTCATCGTCTCTCGCGGGCAAACTAAGACGCGTACGACGCTCTTGAAGCCGAGAGATTTAATTGGGAATACTGTCCTCGGTGGTAAGCCTGCCTCGTTTACACCTGACTTGCTCTATCTAGCAGCCTAGTAACACGATGTGAGCTAACAATCGGGTCTTAGTGAGAAATACAAATTGAAAGGGCGATATTGTCTTCGGGCGGTGTTTACTCACATTCATCTCAGACTTAGCACCCGTTTCCCGTCCCCCCTTCATCTTTTCAAACTGTCTGCTGTGCCATACGTAGGTCCCCTTCCCTCTCTCTTTTAGCTACGAGCGAGTGTAATGTTAGCCTTGCTGCGGGCGTAGGCCCTCGTGTGGGGTTAGACGCTACTGCTGGTACGGAGCCGGTAGTCAAATGGCTAATGGCAATCTACAGTCAGCGAGTGAGCGATAGGCATGGCGTGGTTTCCGGGAGGGCTTCAAACGTAGGCGTGGAACCAGAGGACGACAAGCCTTGAGATTGTCTCTTGCGGGGTGCGTGACGAAACGCCACTCCGGGTCTTTGGTCGGTTAACGTCCAGAATAGATACAGCTACACTAATACATCGGATAATATACCTACCTCCTCATCTGCCGCGGGCTCCTCGTCGGCACTCCCGGGTCAGATCAACGAACCAATCCGGTCGGCCTACGACTTGTATTGATTCCCGGGCATCATCTCTGTGTAATATATATCGTAATTATGCTTCGAGGAAGTCAATATGGGGGAGACGGGATGTGCTTAAAGTAGCATCTCATAACTGTGGCCGCTGTTACGGCGACCTTTTCTTAGGCGTGTCCGTTGATCAGACCCACTCCACGGGTGCTCCGGCGAGCATTGCCTTCAGCCTGCAACGACATGGTAGTTTGGGAGAGTTATATAGGCTATTTGGGAAGGGGGAGGCGCTCAGTGGTGAAGACTCACAGTCTGTCCGGCCACTCACCACACACGTATGTGTACTAGGTAGGTATATAGGTAGGTATGCATACCCATGTATGCCATTACATGTTCTGATGCGAATGTGGCTCGAAGTTGCGTGCCATCGTAGGTGGACAGTCTCTCTATGCCTACCTATATCTATCCCCAATAGCCATTGTCTTTCTACATCGAGATGATGACTCCGATGCTCCTAGAGTGGTTCCTCTTTTCCTCTCTGGCTGCTGCCGAGTGCACCCGAGGCTTCCTGGTAGGACTCACCGACAAGTACGTGGCGGCACAGGCCAGAGGCTCCAGTGATGAGGTGGTTAGGCTAACGGCACCCAACGTCACCTATACCGAGAACGAAGCCCCAAAGGATATCGCCGATGGCATCCTGACGGAATCCATCCAGATAGATCACCACCGCAGCATCCACGATACTGTCAACTGCGCCACTTTTACCGAGATCATTGCTGCGAATCAACCACACCCGTATGTGATCGGCACGCGCGTACTCCTCGATGGCGAAAATAAGATTTCGCTGATGGAGTCTATTGTCACTGATGCCGGAGATTGGGCTTTCAACGCGACGGGCTATTTATACTGGAACTCACTCGAGAACTGGGATCCCATTCCAGAGGACGAGCAAGACAGCCGTGCGGTAATCCAGGCAGCCGGGGATGCATATTTCGAGAGATTCAAGGACGATACCGTAAAGGTGCCCTTTGGGATACCATGTTCCCGCCTAGAAGGCGGTGTTTCCACGGCGCCACTCAATATAACTGGAGACTCGTGCACGCTGGCAGGCATGCCCTCAACGCTTGTAGTGACCAACCGTCGCTACGTTGTTGACGAAGTCATGGGAGCCGTCGACATCTACCTTGGCTTCCCCGGGTTAGATCGATCCCAGGGCCAGGCACCGATGCCTGATAGTCACCTATTCAGAGTGGAGTCGGGAAAGATCCGGTACATCCACACCGTGTCGTCGTGTGTCACCGCAGGTTGTGGGATGAACGGAACGTTTATCCCTCTGTCGAGGCGCAGACGAGGACGCTCTTCAAGTCCCTGAAGCGGCCTTAGTTGGGTTGCCTTCGAATTGGCCATCTCGAGAAGGCAGGCGATGTTCAGCTAGTTGTCTCTAAATTAGTCTCAAGACCATGCTATAAACCGATCCCCTCCTCATCCACATTGACAAGTAGGCCGAGGGCGACGACTTGTAACATGAAGCCAGATATCAAGCTGCCGCCATGGCTCAACCGCCTCGCCATGTCACAATTTCACCTATGCTCTTGCCCGTGCCAGGCAACGCATTTTCACGGAGTCGTAGAGCTATATCAAGGGGAAAACCCCGATTTGGGGGTTGGGCACCTGTCGTCTGGCTAAAACTGGGGTTATCGTAACGCTAGGTGACTACGAAAAACGAGCCGCGGCAGCTGTGCTGGTCTGGATGGGGATATCTGGGGCGATGGAAGCTATGATTCCGGAAGTGATGTGGCATACTCGAAGACTGATCTTCGCTGACGCCGATACGTAGGTCCTCTGGAACAACCTTGTCGAGTGGCTGCGCGGTATCGGCTCGGAGAGCGAGCCATCGAAGGAGTTGGTTCCAACGTGGTCGAATTCGAACCCGGGGATCGCGTCGCCGCATTCCACGAGATCATGAGTCCCTACGGCTCGTATACCAAGTACCCTATTGCTTGGCAGCGTACGACCTTCCACCTCCCTCAGCACCACGACATTTGAAGGCAAGTGTAGCGAACGGGGAAGGTGAGGGAGGGTAGATAGGATATAAGCATAGACACGACGGGAACATAGGCAATCAGAGACATGCTAATGGGTCGCCAGAGGGCGCTGCTACCCCGTTGGCTTCTATGACATCCGCGGCCGGCTTTTACGCTTGTCTCGGCCTCCCACGACCACGGACTCCGGCGACGGAAACCACGCCCCTCATCATCTACGGCGTGGGATCGGCTGTGGGAACTTACGTCGTCCAGCTAGCTCGGCGTCGCAATATTCACCCTTTGGTATGCTTCGCCGGTAAATCGCGATCACACGCCGAGACGTTGATCGACACCATCAAAGGAGACGTTATCATCGACTTACCGAGACGGCGATGACGCCGTCGCCGGGGCTTTGAGGAAGGTCGCCGAGAGGCACAGGTTGCCCCACGCATTCGATGTTGAGTTGGAACACAACAGTTACGTCAATCCGAGCAAGGTTCACGCTGAGGACTTGAGGATAACCCTGGTGTTGCCGTCCAAAGACTACGCGTTCTCAGCTGACACCGCGCGGTCGCTGACGCTTGTGGGCTTCGTGCGTTCAAATGCTAAAGATTTCGGCTTCGTCTACTTCTGGTACATCGCCCGTGGGCTCTAGGAAGGATGATTCTGGGCGCACCCCTAGAAAGTTGTGCCAGGAGGACTCCGGTGCATCCAAGAGGCCTTGGAGAACTTGAAGGTTGGCAAAGCTAGTGCTATAAAATACGTATTCGGAATTGCTTACACTCAGCGAACCTAGCAGCCGGACTTGTTTCTGCATCGTGACTGAAAGGGGAGAGGTTATCGAGGGGACGTCAGTTCATGCTATAGGTATATATATATCATGGGTAGAAATGGCGTATGGTGCTAATTGTGTTCCCGTCCGGAGGAGTTGGGCGAGTGAACATTGGGCGAGAGGGACGACAATAGGAAGGACCTTCAACATCCCACGAGGACGGAACCAACAGATGGAAGAAAGAGAGTGGTGTTCATCCCCGAAAGATTCCCGATAATATATCTTTCTCTATAGGTGTACTTGCTCGACGACTTGTCTCTGCTAGAAGAACCCCACGGCGGGCTTGGGATAGACTCGTCGTCGGCGCGATCACCTTAGTTTGACTGGTAGAAGGCGATGTATTTAACCTGTAGGCCGCTCCCAAGGCCGGTGACTGTCTTGTTGTCCGGTTGTCCCCCGCCTTGTCATCCTCGTTAGCAGCTAGCGAGACTGTTCGGAGTTCACGCGTAACGAGTAGTAACTTACCGGGAAAATTGCTTCCCACGGCGACGTTCAAGATGGGGAAGAAGCTCTTATGGGCAACTCGGCCCCAAAGCTCACCATCTCCTATATCGCTTCCTTTGATTTGGAAGAACTTGTTCCCGTCGAGCCACCATTCCAGGGTTTCGTCCTGCCAATTGCTGGGCGTTCGGTTGACCTTGATTGCCCAGGTATGGAAGGACTCGACTTGAAACGTCACCCTGGCGCCGGGACCGCCACGGCTAAGATGGTCCGAGCCGCCGCGGCCGTAGTGGAGTGTTGCTAGAGAGAAGTCGGCGCCGTGGGCGTTCTCCATGACTGCCAGAAATAATGAATTGTCGTGTCGCCACTGTTATCTGGAATATCGTGTTTACGATGGCTCCTACGAGTGGTAGGTCTCTCTGCACGCTCACTCCCGGGCCCATCGGAGAGGGAAAGGGGATAAGGGGTCAAGGGGGTAATATCAAAAGGGAAAATATTGCTTACTATCCCATTCGCCGCACTGAGGCCAGTCGATATTTTTGCCATTCCGAATGTCGTTACCAAGGGCCCAAAATGCAGGCCAGATCCCGGCCTGCTGGTTGGCCGGGGAAGTCCCGGTGCGTAGCTCGGCCTGGAGTAGCATTCGATGACCGTCGGGACAGTTGAAGGCATTCTTGCCTTCGAGACGGGCAGAAGTCCACTGGCCGTTGTTGTGCTGCGGCGTGATATGTAGCACACCCGAGCCGTTGACGGAGGAGTTCGAGGTGCTTTGAGTGTAGTGCTGAACCTCCTGGTTGGCCGCGTTGGGGCCCTTCGAAATGATATTCCACTTAGACTGGTTAGGGAGGGATCCTGCGGGGCCCGCGAAGTTGTCGGACCACACGAGACTGTACCCCGGCTCGGTGGGAGGAGGAGACATCGTTGGGACACGAAGTAGCTATCAGTAACTCTAGATGGGCAGGGCAAGTAGGTCAAGGCGGCTTGGTGTACGTATGGTACTGGGCTGGAGAGGAGGTAGAGGAAGCTCCCTCTGCCTTTATAGCCCATATGGGCCTTCAGGAACTCATCGAGGGATAGACACTGAGAGACTCTGACGTGCGACGAGGATCCGTAGCTTATTCAGTCAATTGAGAGTCTGATGTCAGGCGTAGGTAGCATCATGAGCATCGCGGGGGAGGTCCTCGGTTACGGAGTCGCATAGCTACATTCTTTTAATAGGTGAACCCCGAGGTAGGAAGGGGTGTAGTTAGTATGTACGATATATTTAATTAAGTAATCGTAGGCTCGTACCTCCGTATCTCTCTCCTTCTCGTAGGTACGTACCCTCTTTATACTATACGGGGGGATGGGGGTCTGTCGATATCATGTTACGTACTATCACCCTCCCTAAAAAGGATTACTATAGCTGAAAGTATTTCTATCGCGATATTAAAGCAAATTAAACGTAGAACGCGGCATAGGTATAATACAAACGCTATATTAATCTAGTAGCTCTTTCTAAGGATAGAATAGCTGTTTTATATAATGTTAAGCTAAAATATATATCCAAATCGATAAAATATCAAGAAAGTAATAAATACATATCTTATTAGAATAATTATATTATAATACTTACGTTAAATTATAATAAAATCCGTACTATAACCTTTGCTATAAGTATTTTATACCTAATAAAAATTTTCATTATTATAACCTCGTTTAAAGACTATCTCCATACTGTATTAGTATTATAAACATACTATCAATAGACCCTCCCCTCTCGCTATAGTATATACTTATTTTATTAATAAATCCATATCCTTTTTATTAATAGGTATATATTCTTCTTAATAAAAAATACGTATTCTTTTTATTAAAGATGCTATAGTAATACGGTAACACATACTGTAGTGGTGCGGTGGATCTAGGCTACGTAGCCTTTTCGATGTGTATTTATATGGGTCGCGCACTCATATTTTCATCAGTTAGACTTAGACCTGTAGGCATCACGACCTTACAGCTATTCACCCGTTTCTTGCCATGCCTTTTCTCGCTATCCTCGTTGCCTTCCTCTTCTAGTCCCCTTTCCCAGCTGCCGTTTTCAGCTGGACGATCAACCGACTACAGCTGTTTATAGCTGTAATCTAGGTTGATCGGCACTGGGCTAGTTGTTAGCAGTTGGGGAGTCCTTTTCGTGCTTCCATCAGCGTGCCCACGCTGCTCCTATTCAATACCCTCTTAATGTATTACGTAAAACGCTACGATAGGCCTTATACTTATATAGAGTAACTATAGCTCTCGTAAGTATGGATTATATTACGATTATTACTTAATTTATTACTTAACTAAATTATTAACTTTATTATTTTTACCTTAATTTAAAATTCGATTTTATTGTTCAATTCGTCGTCTTCTAATTAATATATTTATTTTAATTACAGGCGCTTAAGTTACTTTGTTGTATGGTAATAGCTAAATAAATAACTTCTACGTTTAGTTACTTTTCTCCTCTTACCTCTTTTATCTTTAAATTAACGACTACTACATTTCTATTACCGAAGGATCTACTTAAGATACGATAACTATATTAAATTCCTCGTCTCTCGATTAGTAAAGTAATATTAGTTTCATTTATCTTAGATTATCGTACGTACTATAGTTACTGATAGAGTATACTTTCGAGTAAGCTATCTAGGACTCTAGTATCGTATACGCTCTGCTCCTTCTTAATACGTATCTAGTTATTATAACTTTCTCTTATATTTCATTATAGCTTCTTTTAGATATAACTACCTCTAATTGTAACTACTTTTAATTTATATTTGCTTTTAATTCGTACTTATCTTTAATTTATAACTACTTTCGATTATAACTATTTTTCATTATAACTACTTTAGGTTATAACTACCTTTAATTATAACTACTTTTAATTATAACTACTTTTAATTATAACTACCTTTAATTATAACTACGTTCGATTTAGAACTAGTTTTAATCATAATTTCTTTTAATTACTCTTAATCTTTAATTATAATAAGAATAATACTTATAATTAAATATATAGATTCTAATAGTTATAATATAACGTTAACGGTAATATATATTAGAAATTGATGCCTTATTTTATTAGAGCGTAAGTCTAGACATTAAAAGCAGGGAATCCTACCCTAAACTGGGGGGTTTTCCCAGATGTAGCTATGTAACCCCGTACTCGGTCGTAAACGGACTTTAGTGATGGCTGACTGCTTCCAGGCCATGATCATCCGCGACGGGGAAAACGAGCCAGAATCTCACGCAGGTGCTGGTATCATTCGGTCCCAAAGTACGGATTTAAACTCGATACGTGGTTCTCTATCTTCTCGTGGCTGACTTGTTGCGTCCTCGTAGCAGTGTGCCCTAGCTCAATATTTCGCGATGGTGTCAGCATGGTTCGCGTAGTCAACAGTCATACACCCACTATAGTTGGAATTGGCATCTATTGTTTCCGGGTATAATTATTCGCGTACCATTATCTGGGTTGCCGGGTGGCTGACTGTCAGTGCAACATGACGATGGATAGTCATGTGGTATTCAAGGAGACACTCGGTCTAGATCGTCGGCTGGCGGTTAGAAGACGGATACGCGGAACCGATAAAGATATCATAAAGAAGTCTACGCTTCCGGTATCGTGAGATTTCCTTCCAAGTCGGGCACGTCTAGTGTTTGTAACGGGGTAATACCGTCTGGGTGTGATCTCAACCGTCCCGAACACCCAGACTTAGGAGCTTAGCGGAAGTGGTTTCGGTAGCGGGACAGTATCGATGTGAGAATTCTTGTCGGCTGGTATTGTGCCCAAAGAGCGTAGCTATGAACAACCATCAACCGTCCACCTATTTCGGAATCATACTGCGGTGGGAAATATCCTATATTAGGGAACTTTGGTAGTTATATACCGTCAACCCCTATCGGAACTAACTAAGGATTACGGTAAGACGCTTCTTATGTTACGCGTTAAGAGTATCTTGACTAAGATTGACAATATAACTAGTAGGTTAGGGATTTGATCTTGTGGTAAGAGGACGGGTTAATATGAGTGAAAGGTAACGCCGACGCTTTTCGTCGCTACCAAAAATCGATTGGCACCGGGGAAAGATAGAGAGAACGGATAGACCACAACTCCCTTGCTCCTTGTTTTTCAAAACTTAAACGTATAAAACCTCTCATGCGTATGAGATGCCCGCCGGGGATGCGTTCCTGATGGCTAAGTAAAAAGCACGAAACCTGAAATAGGTTGTTCGGCAGGTATGCTCAGAATGCACGTGGACAAGATCGAACGCAGTGAGATTAATATATCATTCATCTATAAAAGTCGACGCAACTGACGACGACATCGAGAAGGAGTGAGGTATCCCTCCGCCCTCCCTTTCGTTGGATCTGCCTGACCTGCCGAATACAGGCCCCGACGGTTGAAGTTTTATGTTGCTGCACCCCTGACGGGCATCATCTGGGGTATTAATATATCCTGCAGGTGGGAAGCGGGAATGCGTAATGCGAGATGGATAGCATTGCATGTAACCGCACGCGAGCTCGGGTTTTGGCGGGCTAGACACGCGGTTCGTCTCTTGGTTGGATCGCCCCTATGCGAGGGAGGAGGAAGTGAGGCGAGCCACCAGAAGATTCCCCCCCCCTCAAGCGCCCAACACGCGCTTGATCACCTCCACCCCCTCCGCCACTCCTTTTGGAAGGTTGTAGAGAGAGGGAGAGACAGTCACCAGGATGTTGTGCTCGACGATTCCTGTCTCATCCGCTACCGGGCACGAGTTGGATAGTTAGCGGGAATACGTCAATGGCAGCTCGGTCGTAGACGTGCCGTGGACCTCTCTGGCTCTCTGTTGGGCTTCATCCGACCCTGGACTGCAAATTCTTCAATCCCTACGCGGCCCACAACTACCTAGGTATAGAACATGACCATGTATATGAGTAGAAAGTAGTCGTCGGCCCATAGCAAAGCGCGCTTGGGGACGGGTAGCCTAGGTAGTAGTAGAGAGAGAACCACGATAAGGACCTTATTTTCCTCCCTCCCCCGGCCTCGGGTGCCTCGCATGCACGTATGCAGTACCTAGTTGCAGCGATTCTCTAAAGGGGTGGGTGGGATAGCTAGATGTACGCCTCCTGAGGGACAAGCACGTACTCGGTACTAGAATATACCTAATAATAAGCATCCACACTTACCTACGTAAGGCTAGGAGGCACATAGGGAGTTACTCTACCTATGTGATCTCCGACAAGGCTCCGAAGGAAATTGGTGCCCAGCACGGTTATTGCGATTCTCGAAGTGGGATAACAAGGGCATAATCGCATACCCCATACCTAGGTACCTAGGTATATGAGTATGAGGCTTACCTGCCTTAGGTACCTTACGTAGGTATCTACCTGAATAAGGAAGGTATAAGCTACCTCCATATGCACCTAACATATGTAAGTACATTCCTGGGTATGTGCCTGCTCAAGGTAGACATAGGTGTGGTGGGCATGTCATCCATGGTATGCATTCTGTCAGCACCGCCGATGTGCACACAGGGAGGCTGGATGGCCAAAAAAAAAAACAACAACGGCAGAACATACGTTATACTTGTGTAGAGCGGACTACTGCAGACTCGTCCATCTGCTCCTCCTCCTCCTCCTCCTCCTCCTCCTAGTAGCCGAGATGCGAGAAGAACAAGATTAAAGAAAGGAAGAAATAGAAGGAGGGAAAAAAAGGGGGAGGGGGTTGTTGACCGTGGCAGACTAACAACAGCACAACCCTAGCCCGACTTATAAATGGAGTAAGATGTGAGATGTAAGATTTGTATTATGCAGTAGCATCTGAGAGGGAAAACTGTAGCATCGTGGGCCAATTTGGAGTTGTGTTGGGCCATTCTCGGGGCCGTCGCGTGGAGAGAAGTTACACCATATCCTCCTCTCCCACAGAACCCCTGGCCGCGAACGCTATGCGTCTTGTAGGTATGTATCTTTGCCGTTGGCGCGTTGGCATCGTGAAACGGTCGTCCTGACCGAAACCGACACTACCGTCCGATACATCAGCAGACTATAACATCATTTCGTCCACGTCGTTCCGTTTTGAGGGAAAAGTTAGCAGGGGCTGGCTCGCCCAGCCAATGGCTCTCTGCCTCGAGCGGCGGCGTGGTGGACGTTTTACTACCTGGTAATTACCGCGATACCCACACTGGAAACGTCTTGGCCCAAGATCTGGCACAGGGGTCGAAACGCGGAAGGATTAGCAATAACCGGTAGATCATAAGCGATCACTGCGTTGAAAATCCCGTGGGCGAAGGCTGGATTTTTATTTTCTTTGTTCCTTTGGTTTCTGGGGTTGTTCTGGGCTGGGTTGCGTCCTTGGGCGACACACATACTGCACGCACCAAGCGGCCAGCCGCCCAAGCCACCGTCGGTTCGAGCCGAGTTGGCGGTTCAATCCTCAACGCCGCTTCCTTGGCTGATCTGCGCCGCGGGACACGACGACGGCGATGTCGACGATGACGACGAGGAACATGGCCGGCTGCCGGCCCTGCAAATATCCTGCCTCGCCCATCAGGCCCAGACACGTCAGAGAGGACGTCCGTCTAGGTCTACCCACGGTCATGACAAAGGATGGATACGTGGGTTCTCTCGCGGCCTTGCCTGTGGCGCTTCAAGGTCCCGCGTGTCCCTCCACAGTCCTCGCCTATCCATCCACTCATCCGCCCGTCCGCGTGTATGTGTGTATGTATGTACCATGTGTATGTGTATGTGTATGTATGGGAGGAGGGGGGGGGGGGGCATTCGTGACTGGTAAGGGCCGAAAGTTGGCCATTTCCTGCTGTGGGCGCCGCTTGGGAGACAGTCTTTTGCATCGTGATTAACCGCTGGAACTTGTCCCCTGTAGATACCTAGGTGGTAGGTATGTACGTGAATACCTGCTTAGCTACACTGTACATGCAATATCCCGTTAGTGGGGTTGACCCGCCCTGTCGAACCCTCAAGGATGTCTTAGTAGGCGGGCCACTATATCTACCTGCCTAACCTATCTAGGTGCCTAGGTACTTACTTACCTCCCTATATGCGCACGCATGTATGTATGTATGTATCTAGTATAATGCTTTATCGTCGCTAACGCGGGTGCGCTCTCTGTCTCCCCCCCCCCGGCCCCCCAACCCTAGTCGAGATGGCCTCGTTTACGATACCTGGGTGAGACAGTTCCTCGAGACCAGCATGGGCGCCTGAGGATCTTTGGACAGGGCGGCTCCCTGGCGGGCGTCCGCCAAAAGCAACCCTCCGCTGGTCACCGGCGCGCGCGCTGATGGAAATTCGAAACGGTTTTCCTTCAGCTCTCTACTACTACGTAGTATGTCTTCGGCCAGGGGGGGCGGGTCCGGTCAGGTCAAGAAGGGTCCGCACCAAGAAAGAAGCTTCTTTGATTGCTTGAAGCCCGCAGGCATGACACAGATCCCGTTGGACCTTGGCTCGTACAACCGGGTTCCCAAGGGGCATCCCTATCCCGCAAGGGCTCCGGCCTCGCGACGATTCGGGCTAAGCCGTCATGCCCACGGAAGACCGAGCAACGCTTCTCTGATATCTATATAGACAGACTATGTCCCCCTCGTCACTTCCGTTTTTCCTATTCTCCAGGCCGGTTTCTTTCCCTCCCTAGTACGTGTTGTTTCTTCGTCCTTAACGATCCTGTGGATCTCTTCTCTTCTCAACAAATTCCTTCGTTTTACTTTTCCCCCATATCACTTTACCCTCTGCCGGCCCGGTGCTGCTTTCCTTCAGTACAGTCAACAATATGTCGTCCTTTTCGTCCATCCTTACCTTCGCGTCCTTGGTCGCCATCAGCCAGGCCCACGGCGTTATTCTCAGCGCCCAGGGCCTCCAAGGTTCGCCGGCCAGTGTCGGATTCCAAGGTATGCCGGAAGAACCGAAGCCAGTCCTGAGGCTGGGTGAGCTAATGCCTCGTAGTCCAACCCGAGCTCGCGCGGAACTGCACGGCGATCAGCCCGTGCCAGCAAGACTCGACAATCATTCGAGACGCCGAGATCGCCGCAAACATAGTGAACGAGTGTGGACGCACTCAGCTAGCTGGCAATATTGACATTGGGGAGAACACGGAGAATGCGCTTGCTGGTGGTGCTGTCACCCAGGTCAAGAGGGGGTCGCAGGTCAAGGTCACCATCCGTAAGAAACCTTTCATTACGCAAGTCGCCTGGATCTCTGACTAACGTGTTTCGACAGACCAGGTGAATGCCGACGGTGCCGGCCCTTACACATGTGATCTGGTTCGTTAGCATCTGGTATCCTGATGTTTTGGAAGATGTCTAATCACTGGATAGGTCGAGGCTGGAAACAACGGTGTCATCACGCAAAATCTCACCGTTGAGAACAACGTTCCCGGTGTCAACGGCTTTTCGCAGGCCAAGACTGAGCAGTTTGAGATCCTTGTCACCATGCCTGACGAGTTCACCTGCACTGGATGTGAGTACCGGGCTGTTCCGCAAGTGTTATCGACGTGCTAATATTTAAAGCCTCGGCGGGCAATGTGTGCACCATGAGGTGCCGCAATAACGCGCAAGCCGGTACGTAACGAGCTATCCACTGTGTCGGTCTATGGTCTAACGTCGTGCTAGGACCCTTCGGTGGATGTGTCCCCCTCCAGCAAATCGACACCGAGCCGAACGTCAACACTCCGGAGAACATCCCTACGGTGCTCTCCCTGGATAAGGTGCTGGCGCAAGTGGCACAAAACAACGCGGACCTCCCGGCTGCTATCGGTGCTATCAAAGACGCCGGAGCTGACCAGGCGCTCCAGAACGTGGCGGTTGTCAAGTCGATCCTTAAGGAGACGATAACGAGCTTGGCCGCACCGGTGCAGACGCCTAGTGTCATCACAGGAGTCGCTGCTAGCACTACAACGACGGCTGCCCAAGCAACCACGACGACCGCACGCAACGGTAACAACAGGGGAAACTCTGGTAACGGCAATGCGAATACCGGTAACGGCAACACGAATACTGGAAATGGCAGAGGAAATGGCAACAACGGCAACAACAATGCCAACGCTGGCAACAACAACAACGCGAACGCTGGCAACAACAACGCGAACACCGGCAGTCGAGGCAATAGTGTCGCTGAGAACGCCCCTCAGCGGAGGCGGGCGACGACGTTCGTTGCGTAGACGGAGCGAGCAGTGCGACCATCTAGGTCCGCTTCCCCCTTTCCGGTTGCGCCCCAGCGGTTGTGCTTACAAGGAGCAGAGAGGCACGTGATAGAAGAGGTGATGAGGCAATTCTCATCGTACTAGAATTTATATGTACATATAGGCAGCGACGTAACCTGTTTCCCAACTGGCAATCTATGTGCCGTGATGTGAGCGGTGTGTGTGTGTGTGTGGGTGGGATTCTGGTCTCCATTCTTCGGGAGGTACCTCCTAGTCAGGGACAGGTCTCCAACGTGCTACCGCTAGGTACTGTTATAGTAGAGTGGGCACCGCGGTGTATCTTGTGGTGGGAGCCTCTTCCACCTTGCCCAGGGAGGTACTTACGGTATGAACCCCTGGAGCCAAGAACCCGCTGTCATCCGATCGGAGACCACGGCAGATTCATGAGTCAGGTGGAATTCTGCGCGAATGTACTTGAGTACATTCCATCGTAAGACTGTAGGTTACAGATGAGCTAAGTAGCGAAGACTACCAAGTAGTGCTGTGTACCGTTGTTCGACGCGATCATGGCTTCAAACGTCCAGCCGCCACGCCAATTTGCAACCCTACCAAATCATGGCGCTGATGGAAATTAAGTTGAGATGGATGCTCATCGCGTGGTTTCGATAAAATTCTCTATTGAGCCTCATCATGTCGTCGGTCGGCTGGGCTGGGCTGCCTCGTTTCCGCCCCTCCCGCCTTTCTAAATCTCGGTTACTAAAACTCACGACTTCGAAGTTGGCACTCGCTCGGGACTTAACGAGTAGGTATATCAGACCTTGGTGGATCCGGTCAACCATGATCTGGCGGGTTCTCGGTCCGTAGATCAGCAGGTTCAACAGCGCAGTGACCCCCGCCACGGCGAATGGCAGCCAGCTATCCATGCCGCTCTGTAGCGTCAACGGTCCATGAGGCGGAACGGTCACCGCTGTCAGCAGCAGAAATGCAGCCTGGCCACGAAAGTAGATGGGGAAGAGGCGCTTCTGAACAGTCGTGAAGGCAGACCTGGGTAGCGACTCGTAGCATACTTTCGTCATTATAAACGTCTGATACAGCTCCGCTCCGAGAAGTGCCGAGTAAGATAACACATGAAGAGGCGCCAGCACGCTGGCCCGAGACAAGCCCGACTCTGCAAGCGCAGTAAGGGCCATTTCGAATCCCATGGTTAACTAACCGAGAAGGAGAGGCAGCGTCAGGAAATATAAAAGGAAGCATAGGGGGGAATTATGATAAAGAAGCCAAGAAGAACAATTTGCCCCCGTTCAGGCGTTATTTATGCGCCCGGATAATACTTCCTACTACTCCTTGAAAATTAAACCGACGGTTCATCCATCAGAAGCCCGTCCTTGGGGACTTTGGTCATCGAGGCATGCAAAACTCCGAAGACGTTCAGGGGTATTATTAGCGGGCAGACTCACTGCAGATTCGGCGACGTTGTCATCCCTTCCAGCCTTAGCGAGTACTTGGGGAACAGGAGAGGGCTGCCGTGTAATACCGATTTATATGACTCCTTCGTGGCTGACGTGACGCGAATACCAGACATATGAACTCGCGTCGGTAACGGCTTTTCTCTAGATTCCTCAGTCTAGAATGATTTTTCTTTTCCTACTCCGGTGACATCCGGCAAATACCTACTGTTTTCTATATTATCTCTATTGAATTCAGCATAACCATTGATCAATGCCCAGAGTCAGCACACAGACCCCTTTCCAGTTGCTCAGAAGGCGTTGGGCACATCAGCTCTAACATGCCATATTGCGATCCTCGTTCCGATACCCCCACGCTTGTCAGTTGCTAGGGCTTTTGCGACCAAGAAGTTCTAGAGTGTTCATGTGGTGACTGTCATATCGAGGTATGGAGCTATTTGCACCCAGTTGGGAACCATGAGAAGATAAATCTCACACGCTCGCTCTAAGAAGTAACGCAAGTCTCCATTTGGCTGGATTTTACGCACCGTATTGATGATATAAAATGCTAGAGGCCCTTGTCACTACACAAAGAGAGTGGGAAACGTATGGAATAGGGGTAACCAGGGTAACTGGGGTCTCAAGTGTATTGAAACCCCTTTCTTCATAAAAGCGATATACCTACCTGTAATAGAAAATCTGAAAAGTATTGCCTTAAGGTAAAAGGAGCTATAGAAACCATACCATGTATTACTTTCTAGTTGACTCTAGGAAAGTAACAGCTAGTTGACAGTATTTGGGATGAAACATTTCGTGTTAAGGAGTTCTCGCAGGAAAATGTAAATGTTAACACCTACATTAGTATACTGACATGGTCATGCAGGGTTGTATGGGTAGGTTTTCCTACGCAGTCGGCTTCTAAACTGCGTGTGTCTTCCCCTTTGACACTGGTGGTGTAGCGCTAATCAAAATTGCATACCAATGTCCCCCCTCCCTCCCCACCGGGGAAGAAAGAAGTCTCATGCTGTATCAATCATCTGGCCTAATGCCTCTATAGCCTCGTCCGCCTTAGACACAAATATGCTCATATGCGCATGCCCATTTGAAATTCGCAGTTCTGCGTTTCGAAGAAGCTTTGCGGCCTTTTCAGCCATGGCAACGGGAACGTTGACATCTTCGTCACCGTGCCATATAACCATTTTACCAGGCTCTATGGCGAGCTCTTCGAGTTTGAAGCCCCAGTCCGACCCATATAAGCGAGCCTCCCACTACGGCACACGACAAATCAGCGACTGCACACGAAGCTAAAAAGATGAAGAAGAAGCGATTCTTACCCCAGAACCCTCGGGTCCGTTTTGAAATGCGCCTTTTAAGCCGCTGGTTAGTGCTTGGCGGAAATTACTAGAGCTACTCTCCCAGGCTAGTTCTCGTTAGCTAATCTAGGCCCTCTACTGTCTTTACAACACGGGGGCGAAGGGGGGTTGTCCTCACCTTCGACATCCGGCTTTGGCCGAGATTTCACCGTCTCGCCGAGCGTCTTCTCCAAGGTTTCGAGGTTTTCCGTGCTTCTTGTGGTAGAGCCTAACCCGAAGTCGAGGATCTTCCCTGCCAGCCGAGGCGACCACCGGGCGGCCCAGAACAGCATCCGGCTCCCTACGAGCATACCTGACAATCCCAAGTCAGTGGGGAACAACCCGCCCATGATGCCGGCCCCGACGCATCGCGATCTTGAGATCTGATGCCAACACGCCAGCACGTAGGGCCCTCCGCCGGAAACGCCAAGGACGGCGAATCGGTCGACCTTCAGGTGGTCGGCGATCGCGAGAAGATCAGCGGGCCAGTCGAGAAGCCGGCGTTGGGGTTGGTAGGTAGAGGACCCCATGCCGGGGCGGTCGACGCTAATAATACGGTGACCGTGTCGCAGTGCGGCGTCATGGAATGCCAGGGCTTCTCCGTGGCTGGACGGATACCCGTGGTGGTAGAAGATCGTTCGAGACGAGGCATGGTCTCCGTACTGGGCGTAGGAAATGGTCCGCCCGTCGGGCAGGGTGAAAAGCTCAACAGGAGATGTCATTTTATCCTGGGGATATGAACGCGATAGCAATAACTACCACGAAGTTGACGTAGGGCATCAACGGAGAAGAAGGCTAGGTGATTACGATGTGTTATTATCACATCCAGAAGATGCGACAGCGACGCCACCCAGGGTGATGCCACGTACATGCCTGCTTCGCGCAGCTAGAAACGAGATACACACTATACTCTTACGGGAGCGGCTGGGTTTCAGTCGCGTCTTGATCCATGGCGCGGTGAATCCTCCTTCAATCCTGTGTCGTTCGAGACAGTGGGTTAATAAAGGATCTTACTATTAGTTAGGTACTATTAGGTAAGTATGAGTCTACAGATCAGCCCAACTAGTCCCCTGAACCTCACCCCAAAGCGGGTCGCGGCTTCCTAAAGATTCTATTGGCTCTTTCCTACGACCTCACTCCACTAGTTGGTTGGGGTGAGATCCTTTTGATTACTTAAGCCACCGCCACTACTGCCACCACCAAGTCAACTACCACCACCAAGTCAACTGCACCACCAAACCACTACCACTACCACCACCACCGATTATTTAATTGTTTATTAAATGCTTCTAGGGCAACTTTTAATCGCGAAAAAGAATAAATCAAGTGCACGTTCGTACGGTAGTTAGAAAGGAGAATTTAATAACCCTTATACGAAATAGGGATAAAGTTTGGTTAACAGGGAAAAAGCTCGGCAAAATCTCCTAATCCGGTTAGAGGTTGGGGTAAGGTACAGGGGACTAGTTGGGCTGATCTGAGACCTCGTAAGTATATATTCGTCATCTTGGAGTTCTGTTCTGAACAAACGTCTGCCCCGGACAACGCGTGTATTTATATAGGTACTACCTCTAGGAGGTAGGTACCTAGCATAGTAAACGCGTCGAAGATGCCACCGTGCTACTACGCTACCTAGAGGGCAAGGCGACATCGTCGGGTCCACTACGAGATATACCCATGTCTTCCCAGGAAAATGCCATGTAAACCCGGGCATGGGAATACCAGGCATATATTACCTTGGTACGTGACCAAGCCGGCTTAACGATTAACCCCGCCGCCACCTGGGGAAGGAAAGTGACGATTCACATGACACGGACTCGGCCGCGGTAACGTGACGACACCACCACTCCGTCGGAATCTCGGGGGACTCTTCGCGCCGCTGCCAACATAGGTATATACCCGTGACACGACGGGATATCGTTAGAATGCTCTCTGCGAGAGGATGTGCCGACTTGGAGACACGTTGGGCCAAGCTGCAGGTGGCCCTGGCTACCACCTCAACCCTATCGCTCAGCAATGCAGACGCGATGTTGGGGCTAAATGTGAGCCTGCGCATCACGAGTTCCGTGAAACTAGGTGAACCTATTGCCTGTCTGTCGACCGGACAGTCTTCCAGGTCTGCAACCCGAGCGATGGAGGGATTGACATGTTCTCTCTATGCTTGGTGTCAAGGTGACTTTGGGGGCCAAAGATCGGATGATGATTGACGTCGAGAGGGAAATTGGGTGCCAAGTAATGACCCCAAACTTCTGAACTGGGAGTCGGCTGTAGACGACGGCCATGTTGTTTTCGAGATTGTCCCATAGGTGGGACGAGTCGTCGGAGGCTTGCTGTGGATGGCATCTAGGTACCTAGGTAGCAATTATGCGTGAATAATTCATGCCTGTACACCCACCGACCTAGAAGTATAGGTACCAAGATGGTAGAGGTACCTAAGTACCTCTGCATGTAGACGTCTCTACGCATATGTATTATTGACTCAAATATAGGTATCTATAATGTGAGTTTATGCTGTAGACCTACATACCTGGGCACCTAGGTATATGGACTGTGCTCTCCGAGATACCAGGTACCGGTACATCTGAACCATGACATGACGCCTGCCCCATCCGGCCAAGACCGACCAATTGTCTAAACAAAAACTTCCCCAGATTCAAGTGGGCAAAAAACGACACCACCGTCGTTGTTACTGCTAACTCAGCTACCAGAGTTCTCCTTCCACCACCCCACCATATCCTCACTGTCTTCACTGTCTTCGCTGTCTATCTATCGAGGCATCCGCTACCGTATAGAGTCGCACACTCGTCACGAGTACACATCCCGATGAACTCGACTTTTCCGCAGTCTCCCCGCCACGGAATGGTACCATCATGGAACTAATTCAGCGCGCATCGCGGGACGGTCGTGAAATTGTGCTGTACGTCATTTCCCCTCTGAGCAGCGGACAGGGGCGGGACAGAGACGGCAGGGTCCAGCCCAGCCCTATTACCTCTTCCTTTGCGCCGTCTTGCCAATGTTGGGTACGGCTTGTAGTCTCTCCGCTAAGCTAGATTTATAACCTAGGCGTCACCGAAATGCCGTTGTCGTTCGCGATCCCTTGTCGCGGCGCCTAGAGATCCGAGGCGTCGCTTTGACAGAGTGCCCTACCTGTCATCAGCCTCTCCGTCCATCTTCCCCCGATCGGCACTTTGACGCGCCAGCACCACACGAATCCTACGTCGACCCCAACTACTTTCGCATGCTTCAAGTAGGCCACGGAGAGGAGGAGCACCAGCATGCACAAGACCAGCCGCCGAGCCCCGTCCGCCGCCGAGCCCAGCCTACCTTGCCCAGCGGCCCCGGAGCTCAAGACCTCGACGATGGCGAGTTCATTTCTGACTCGCCAGCTCCCCATGACGGAGCACGCATTAGGAGGGACGCATTTAGTCCAAATTATTTTACCAGATTCTTCGTTGAGGAAAGAGAGCTTGGCAGAGGTGGGAAAGGCGTTGTTCTTTTAGTCCGCCATGAGATCGACGGGTGCCCTCTTGGCCATTTTGCTTGCAAACGGGTTCCCGTGGGAGATGATCACACCTGGCTGGAAAAGGTCTTGGTCGAGGTCGAGCTCCTTGCGAAGCTCTCGCACCCTAACCTCGTGTCCTATCGACATGTATGGCTTGAGGATGTCAAGCTAAATCGCTTCGGGCCCAGGGTTGCGTGTGCCTTCATCCTCCAGCAATACTGCAACGGCGGAGATCTGCTCCGCTACGTCGTGGGTGATCAGCCAAAGCAGGCCACGAAGGAGCAGCTCAAGGCCCAGATTAGACGGAAATCGAGAGGCGCTTCCGAGCGGCCCAAAGACCTCTTTTCCTCCCAGCGCCGCCTTTCGTTCGAGGAGATCTATTCCCTATTCAAGGACATCACTTGCGGTCTAGCTTACCTCCATAGCGCAAACTACATCCACCGTGATCTGAAGCCCAGCAACTGCCTCCTGCACCACGAGGCCGGAAGGCTCACGTGTTTGATCAGCGACTTCGGCGAAGTACAGCCTCGGAATGCCATTCGAAAGTCGACAGGGACAACGGGTACCATTTCTTATTGTGCGCCCGAGGTCTTAAAGAGAGACGCCGGGGGTCAGCTGGGCAACTTTACCACCAGATCGGACGTGTTTTCGCTGGGCATGATCCTCTACTTCTTATGCTTCGGTCGACTTCCTTACGTGAACGCAAATACCGTCCAGGAAGAATTGGAGGACATAGATCTACTACGAGTGGAAATCACCGAGTGGAAAGGCTTCCAGGATGAGAAGCGGGAAAGGCCTGATCTTCCTTCGAAGCTATACCAACTTCTTAAGAAAATGCTGGCCCTGGACCCGGCCGAGCGGCCTAGTGCTGTCGAAGTCTTAAATGTGATGAATCACGAGTCGTATCATGGGGGCTTACGAGGAGTACCGCGGAGCGTAAGTCCTTCTGTCGGCATGAATGGACGAAGGATTCAGAATCTGGACTCTCCGATTCCCCCTGGCAGACCGTTACCCGATCCTATCAAACGTCGTAGCACCGTTATCGAGCCAGAAGAAGACTTCACATCGCCTAGCATCGAGAGCTCGCCGTCCCCCAGCCACTCGTCCCAAACCGACCTTCATGGGAGTCTCCAGAAATTCCCCACGCCTAGTACGGCGCGTCATCGCGCACATGCTATGGTACTATCCCGAAGCCACGAAGGGTTCGCCCATTCGTCTCCGGAACGCGGTCAAGCTACGGGAATAGACCGCCCACCGCCGTCCCCAACCATCAATACGCCACTGCTCCTGGCACCACCCACCGGCCCGGGCGGGGCAGCCCAACAGCAAATGACGGCTATTCAACTTCGCCTAGCTCATTTCGCTCACAGCCGCGCCGATTCGATATCATTTGTGCTCCGTTTGGTCCTATTCCTAGTCAAGATGGCATTCCTCGTCAGGCCGTGTTGGCCATTCACCGTCAGCCTCAGTGTCGGCATTCCGTTGGTCGGCGTTGCAGGGTTTGATTTGGGTATGCCGCTCAACAGGGGCATGCTCACACCCGGTCACGATGGAAATTCTCACACCCCAAATCCTACCGACCGGTGGCCTTGGAGATGGGACTGGAGAGGCAGTCTGGCCCTCCTCGCTGTTCATTTTTTTGCCCTGTGGATATTTTCGCGCTGGGGCGTACTATGTGTCACGTTTTGAGACAAACTGGGCAGAATGGTGAGGCACGAGCGCCGAAACATCCCAGATGTACGCGAACATCACGATCGGTTGAGCAGTATTTACGAAATCGAAGGTCCAGCGCGCATGGAAATGCAGCACCTACGCCACACAACCCGCCTTCTATAAGCAAATACGTTGACTTATATATTGTACAGGATCATTAGGAGAGCTTGGAAAAAACCAAGCTATGCGACGACGCAGACAATCACGGGCTGCCTCTACGGATTAGCTAAGTAAGTCCTCCCTTGCCGTCTCCTACGGCATTTTGATGATTAGATCACGACCATGAGCGCCTTAATTTTAGGCTGACTAGCGGAACAACTCTCCAAGAGTATGTGTCACAGATCGCTTATCTATTGCCACCGCAGGTCGATGGTTTCTAGATAACACCTTCGTCTCTGTTGATTTCTAGTCGGTTGTGGATACAGAGCCGTTAGGCAAATCAGAGAAAGGAGAGATGAAGAGGTTGCCAAGCCGTCACAGGACGTTAGGAATTATGATTAACTTGGCCCACGCGTGTCCTTTGCCACCGTAAGCCGCACCTTGGCTTCACGGTCGGCATTCAGTTGCTAGCATCTAAGAGCGGCAATCATCTATTTTGTAGTTCCAACTCGAACTGCTTAGTCGAGGGTGAAGATGATGAAGTTGTAGTAGGTATGTATACGTATATCCAAAGTCGGTGTTGCCCCATACTCTATTTCCTGACGGGCGCAAAGATCAACTCGACTCGTTCCTTGATCCTTTGGACGCCTTCATCGCCCCTCTTCGCTGCGTCTTCGTAAGCCACGCGATATGCATGTAGGTTCTCCGTCATCAACATCCTCTTGTCGGACCACCCTGTCAGCTGCCGGATCTTGGTGCTATCAACCCATTGGCTCACGCCAAACAAGATCTCGGAGCCCGGCACCGCATCCTCGTCTTTAGAAATTGGCACAACACCCTGCAAGTCGTACTCGGAGGTTATCGCCTCGGCGAGGTCTCCCAGCGTCTCGTAGCGATACCCCGAGACGTTGAACGACTGCCCCGAGACGGCGTCTCGAGCCGGATGTTCGGCTAGGGACAGGTACGCCTCAGCACAGTCATCTACATGGCAGCCGTGTAGGATGACGTTGAAATCTGCGGGTATCCGTAGGATGCGCTCGGGAGACCCCGCCGCCGCCGCCGCCAGCTCAAGTGTGACGCCATAGTAGCTCCCACCGTAACCAAATAGCGGGGTAGGCCGCAAGACTACCCCGTCGAACAAGTCTGTATGATTGAATATGTCGAGGCAAGAGGTAGCGCGTTCCTGCACGAGGTCCATGCCATCTAGCGGAGAGTCCTCGGTGAGGGGCGCGAGACCTGGAGAGCCATGTACGCCGGTCACGGCGTAATCCTTGACGCCAGAGCTGATCAGGACCAGCGGCCGGACGCCATTCCGGTTCGAAGTCTCGGCCAGCTTGCGCAGCAGGCCGATCAGGGCCTGATAGTGCGTGCCGAAGGGAATCTGCTCTGTACAGGAGACGATGACGTCGATGGTCTTGGTATGCTTGTATAGATCCTCCAGGAAGGTGGCGTTGTGGGCGATAGAGCCTACGATGGGGACGATCTCCTCAATGGCAAGGGCGCTGGCCGACTCGGGGCGACGCACCAGACCATACGTGCGCCATCCGGCGCGGACAAAAGCCCGGCACACGGCGGAGCCGAGGTATCCATTAGCGCCGGTGACAAAAACGGACCTCCCTAGAGGGCGCGAGGGAGGGTTCGTAACTTCGGCCATGGCGATGCGAGAGGGCGGGCAAAGCTCAACGATTCAGGAAACTGTCTACCCGCTTGGGGGGGAGACCCCAGGCGACGGGCCGAGAACTCGAGCTCATTATATACCTACATGTCTGCCCGTTGGCAGGTTGTGGTTCGTCCCTTACGTTGCCGATGGTGCGGCTCAGAGCTGGTGGGGAAATCCAGCGACCAGCTGAGAGGATGGATACAGAGTGTGTACGTGCGCAGGTAAGACGACGCTTGATTCATAATCCAAGTCGGGGTAATATCGAGTCTGTGGTCAGGTGGTCGGGTATGTCTAGCCGTCTACCTACACCTACGTAGTATTTCCAAGGCAGTAAGAGGCGGTGGATACCTACATGACCTCCTAGTAGAGGTCGTCACCAAGCGACGTCGCCATCCCAGTTGGGTTAGAATGGTCGTATAATACAATACGATCGCTGCGTGTATATGTATGAAGAGACCGGGTCCATTGGTGCCAGCCCATCCGACGGAATCCGTCTACCTATATATAGAGAGGTGGGCGGGAAAGAGGAGCAGATGGAAAATCAGCCCGACATGGAGCCGACGAGAATACTCAATATCGCAGCCCCTTCTTGGGAGTCGACCGCAGGATACCTCCCGCGGTTTTCGCGTTGTCGAACGCGCACCTCATAACCGGACCGCCGGACTGTATTATAGGTCTCTTGACTTGGTAGAAACTGGGTTCGAATCATCCAGCGGAGAGAAGAGGAGAAGCTCGCATATTGAAGGCTGAGCTAGAGGTAGTTGATAGTCTTTGCATTGTACGATCGATGCATTTATGCTTGGGAGGTACCTACTATTTGTGTAGGTTATGCCTGTACTCAGAAGATACATAGGTACATATAGATACACTACATGTTTCTAATGCGTTATCTACCTAGGTATAACAGGTACCTACGTGCATTACTTGCCTACCGTAGGTAAGTACCTCCTAGGTACCTACAGTATCTAAATGCCTGCCTTAGGGTTCTGCGATGGGGCTTGGTTATATTGGCAGACCCAGTAAATCCAGCATCATCCTCTCCTCCAACCTTCAACCCGACAACCTTTTCCTCCCTCTTCTCCACGTAGTCGTTTAGATCCTCTTTTCATTCGTCCAGGGAAAAGCCGAGGTAGAATCGCCACGCAAGGCTAAATCTATGTGACCCCAGAGACCGATATGGGGTTAGCATTTGGGCGGGATCTAGAGAAGTGATTCAGAGCGAGTGGGCGGAGGCCAAGCTGGGCAGAAGGGTGGGATAAAGACAGCATCATGTCACGTCCCCTCCGATCCAATTGTGACCGGTGTCACTCGCAAAAGCTGAAGTGCCCAAAGCAACTGGGCCTCGCTACTTGCACGAGATATCTCAAAGCCGGCGCCAGCTGTATCTTCAGCCTGGCTAAGCCCAACGCTCGACGCACCGTGCCCACCTCGGCTTACCTAAGCAGCGATTTGGACATGCAATTCGATTGGCCCTCTCTAGATCTCGAGACTGCCTTGATAACCCCTCCGGGAGCTCCCCAGGGCGCCCAGCCGGCCGCGACCTACCCGGTTGGCCTTCTAGATGCAGCCGACGAGGACCCCCGATACGTCTTCGTCCACCAGCTTACTGCTTTGGCCGTCGATATCGATAAAGTGTCTCTTGGCCTGTCCTCCATATCGCAAATTCGTTGAACCTAAAACAATTAGAGCAGGTCAAGGCCGTGCTGACAAAACTAGGCTTGATGAAGCAGTCGTCGGAAAAAGAAGAAAAAAGGAGATGGGAAAAAAAGAGAGAGCAAAACAAGCCCGCCACCGTCGCAGGTTCGAGCTTCGAGCTTGCGAGGCCTCGGGAAGAGAATTTAGGAGGTAGTAATGGCTATCGCCAGGTTCTCGAGTATAAGATAACGAATCCGCCGGTCGGCGAAAGTGAGACGATGAAAGAAGGTGGTGGTATGATTTGCTACTTAGTAATAAAATAATACCCTTTGTTAGGTTTGGCGAGGTCTGTTCCATCCTTTTGTCTAGCGCTACAGAATAATTGTTTTTACAATACTTCCTGTAATTACCGCATAGGATAAGACCAGAATGAATGCTACGGCATCAAGAATAGCTCTCAGGCTACGCATGCCATCGGGCATTATCCGCACTCGTGTTTCTTGCGTTCTAGTCTCGACGTTCAAATTTCGCGGCCGCACAGAGGCAAGTCGTCGCAGACACGGCAACATGGCAAGAACGGCAAGTGTACGAAGGGAGATACACAGGTATTCGCAGGGACAAATTTGGGAAGCCCAATCCCGAAGACGATCGCGGTCTGTGCCCCTCAGTAGGGAAAGCTGGGCGCCGGAACGTGAATATGGCGAAATACTCCAGCGCAGCGTATCACTCATGTCCAGAGCCAGGAGACGGCCACATAGCATCGTCTCAGAGTGCACATCTCCCGACGGACGTGATAAGCGACGCGAGCAGCCCGCTTACGAGGAGTCGGAGAGTGACGAGGAAGATCGCAGAAACGGCGTTCCTATCACCATTTCCCAAAATCGGGGATGCGAACTCACTCCATGTCTACGGGCGTACATATCCCGGGAGAGGGACCGGAAGTTGGCAGACAAGCGCCAAATCCAGAAGCAGCTATCCTCCCAGAAGTCCAAGTACGACTGGGCCCGGCAGTGCTATTTCGAGACCCGCGGCCAGAACTGGGATGCGGACACATGGGCTGCCTTCATCGCGCTCGAGGATGCATACTTCGAGACGGTGGACAAGCTTAACAGCTTGGAGTTTGAGATAGATCAGTTCAGCACCGCGTTATTAAGCTTTAAGGACCACGGGCGCATAAGCGGGTGGTCCCGCGAGGATGGGGTTCTGGTTAGGCGTCTCTCGCCGGACCTCACTGCTACCGAGTAAATATAAACATCGCCCACCTCGGTATGTATACTCGGCGATCGCTAGAGGGCGGAGGGGGAAGGGATCGAAGCTCAGGATCCCATCTATCGACGAGGGCCTGATATAGCGGCATAATTAGTGAGCTAAACCCAGCGACGGGGTGGAGGACTACTAGTATACGCCACAAAGGGCGTAAGCTCAGGTAGGTATGTATGTGTGGCGGATTCCATGCTTGTTTTGGTTTTTATAGGTATATATCCTTCTATTCATAGGAACGACATTATTTTGAAGCGCCCGTCCGGCCCAGCGTGTTTTCTATAAGCGGTACTCGACTCGTCTATAACTTATAGGAATCGGCCCTTGCGAGCCACCCACCCCGCCGTATCGATGTCCAGGCTCTAGAACACAGAGAGCATCCCCACCAGTCCTAGCGGCTGCTCTATCCCTCGCGTCGACCTCCCTAAAAACCACGGAGGGAGGGGTCTAATTAGCAGCGCCGCCTGATATTCCCTCACTTCCGTTAGTATCAGGCGTAGGTATATTGGAGAACATAGTGAACAAAACGGGTGTTTAATGCTATACCACGCGCCTGATCAGGCTAGAAGCCTACAGAAGACAGGCGGCCGACTAATGTACCTATAGAAAATGCACTATCAGAACGCGGTTTAAGCCTTTCCTAAGCTCTTCCTTAATAAATACGGTTGGACTTCTGATGGAAACCGAAGGTGTTGTTATCCTATCCGGAGGATAGTTATAATACGTCAAACCCTCTATTATATTAATTAATTATGAGGTTAAATACTGAACAGGAGCAGCGTGGGCACGCTGTGATGGAGGTACGAAAAAAGGACTGCCCAACTGCCAACAACTGGCCCAGTGTCGATCAACCAAGATTACAGCTGTAAACAGCTGCAATCGGCTGATCGGCTAGCTGAAACGGCAGCTGGGAAAGGGGAGACTAGAAAAGGGCAACGAGGATGGCTAGAAAGGCATGGCAAGAAACGAGTGAATAGCTGTAACTAGTGATGGCTACAGGTCTAAGTCTAACTGATGAAATAATAAGTACGCAACCCATATAAATATATATCGAAAAGGCTACGTGGCTTAGATTTACCGTACTACTATAGTACTTATCTTAATGTATTAAGGAATCAGTTATAGATTATATAACTTATACTTTACATGCTTCTTAATCTTACAGGTAAAGGTACGTATTAAGAGTAAACTATATACTTGAGATTAATAACTAAACAACTAGGTAACGACTAAGAAAGAAAGAGATCCCTTAGTCTGTTTATATAGACCTCTTTATTCAACGAGCGTAGTACTTCCAATTCCCGCAGAGCGCAATTGAAATCCCTTGCGGCCTTGGGCCGTACTGTCTTGGCGCCAAGCCCTTGCGCTCAAACAACAGGAAGTGGAATAACCTACTTCCACTTTCTGCTCTCATGCCTTGTGATCTGTACAGGTTGGTACCCTCACAACCGTGGTTCCTAACAATGCATTGTTTTGTCGCATGTTAAATAAGCCTCCTTTGCCAAGAGAGGTCTCTCCTTTATCCGGGTACCTGGAAAGCTGGCCTAGCATCGCAGAGAGGGGTCGTCGAGTTCATTAGGTGAATGTGGGATCACTTTGGAGTCGGTTAAATGTCGGCTTTAGCTGTGGTGAGTTTGGGCAATTTAGGACAGGAACATAGGATCGGATAAGCAGCAACGATGATACTAAACACTTAGTAAGAAATCATTAAGGTGGTATAGTATAGTGGATAGTACAATACGTTGTGGTCTCACTACTTATACCGTGTAGACCTGGGTTCGATTCCCAGTACCGCCAGTGGTAGTCTTTTCCATTTGCTTTTGCTTGGACTGCATGTGTGTGTTGTGTATAGGCTATCTCGTTGAATGCTTCTCTCTTTTTTTCCCTGTGGGATTTGGGGGAGGGTGGGATGCAATTCGAGGCTGGGTAGGCACAGCATGGTAGCCCCTCTTCAGCCCCTCCAGCTTTGTGGGATAGATGGAGGGGCAACAGATAAATAGGTAGTACGGGGCAAAGGTATCACGTGTCGTATCCTTACCTAATGATGTTCTGACAGAGCCAACAAACAGGCCACTATTCTTACCTACCTGGTTCACCCAGGTTGACGGTATCTTTCCTTGTTGGCGTTGATCCAACACGCGCCACCATATTCGGCAATTCCCCTATACGTCTCTTCCAGCAGATGCCACCATTCATCTTACCTGTGTAGGCGCTCTGAGGTGCTCGTGATCCCTTTACCAGTACGCCTATGCCAAGCTCGAGAGAGAACGAGCTACTGTCAGATACCTACGTACCAGGGCGTGTGATAGAAAAAAAAACCTGACAAATACAACATCTTTTACCCCCTCGGAAAATCACCTTTAAACCCACCTATCGTCTGAGGTCCATTCTGCAGCCGAGCTCTGGCATACTCAGGTCGACACCGGCTGGCCTGTCGTATCGTCCGTTATCTTGAGCGAGGCGGGGTAAAAATACAATTGGGGCTGCGCATGCATGCGTCTGGTTCTCAGGTTGCTCTATTCATCATCCACTTGCGAGGTGGCCGTTAGTCGAACGCGGAACGAGCGAGTCGTTGGCGATGGCTAGAATCGCTATCTTCATCCTTCTCTACTGTCGATTACTGGCCAATTCTGTACCTTGTGCTGGCCTCGCTTTCTCTACGATAACAGCATGGCCGGTTGTTTCCTCTCTTATTGCTAGCTGAGGATTGGTCTTGCTGGCCCTGTTGGTACGGCCCTTCAGCCCTGGGCGCGAGTTTGTAAGTCAAACCCCCCCTTTCGGCCTAATTCGCTCTTGTCTCGGAAAGACTCGCCGTCCTTAACATCTTGGGAAGGTCGAAAACGCCATTGTCTTCAGTCAGCATTACGTGGCTGGCGAGGTTTGCATGGCGGCGTACAAGGGCAACGTGTGCGTGCAGGGCCGGAGGAGACATGATCCGAGCGACCTGAAATCTGCCGAGAGTGTTTCCATGGGAGCCCCCCCCGATGAGAGCCCCCCGATGGGAGCCCCCCGATGGGAGCCCCCCGATGGGCGCCCTCCGATGGGCGCTTCCCGATGGGCTTGGCCCTGTGGGCGCCACCAGGTCTATCGAGATCCAGTCGATCTGTCCCGAGGAGTATGGCGAGCAGGAGATGAAGAATGGCAACCTCCCCACGGCATCCTCAATTGTGGTTATCACCGCTACCTGAGACCCAGGGTAGCAACAATGAACTCTAGGAACGTGATGGCCCGACTGCTGGAAGCGACAATTGCATAGGTCCGAAATCGTGCTAGTACCCGACTTCGAACTCGAATACGCGGTAGGCCACGCTCCTCGGCCACGTGTAATCACCCTGTTCTGCATCGTTCTCTCGACCCCTATAGTCCCTGTTCGCGTCCACGATGCAAATTTCCAAGCCGTTTTAGCTGATCTAAGTCCCTTTCTATAGCGTTAAAACCATACACCCGTCCAGCCTCACGTTGTGGCCACAATCGGGTATCTGGGTCATATTTACACGGAAGCTGGGATCTCGACCCTTGGGCTCCAGCCTCGTAAGCCCCCGTGCATTAACACACACACCGACTGCGGTCTGCAGAGTTCCGGGTTCCTAACGGACTATACCCCTATCCGTCTCCCGTCACGTTGCAATTAGACGGGGTTAGTTAATTGGGCGAGAGGAGGGTGGAGGGGGGAGAGATTACAAGAGCGAACCACAAATTACCCAGAAGAGTTTTATCCGCTCGGTAGCCAGCTCGCCGTGTCCAAAGATGTAAGGTCGGCATCAGGCATGATTCGTTTTCCTGGTAGTGCATGTCTTATGCCATCTTTCTCTCAAGACCGAGCAGAGACGGGCGATGACTATAAAAGCGACAGTAGAGACCCTCCACCTCGTCCTCTATAGTACTCGCGAACGCTCGGCCTTGCTTTATTATAGAGTACCCTCGGGCGTCTCTTTACCGGAAAGCTGATCCCACGAACGCTGGCAACATGAAAGCAACCGCTCTATTCGCTCTGGTGTCGGCCGTACAGGCCCACTGTCAGTACCTACGCGTGACCCACAGTTGGTTATTGAGGGCGCAACTGATGCCGCAAGTACAGACACCTTCCCGGCGCTTGTTGCCAACGGCGCCGTGACGAACAAGTGGGAGTACGTGAGAAAGACGACCAACTACCAGAGCAATGGACCAGGTCCGTACTCAATTCCGTCCCCGGGGGTCTTGGTATTTCGGTGGGGTACCTCCTCCGTCCTGCGCTATCACCAGCCGCGTAGAAAAAGAACGGAGAGGGAAAAAGAAAGCTGGGCAGACCTGCTGACCCTGAGATGCGGGTAGTGACCGACGTCAGCTCTGAGCAGTTCCGCTGCTACCAGCTCGCCCCTGGGAACGAGGGTGCGAAGACGATGACTGTGGCGGCCGGCTCTACCGTCGGCTTCACCGCCGACTCGTCCGTCTCGCACCCGGGGACGCTCCAGTTTTACATGGCCAAGGCGCCGGCAGGCCAGACGGCCGACTCGTGGGACGGCTCGGGCGCGGTGTGGTTCAAGATCTTCTCGCAGGGCCCTAACATCGCGCCGAGCGGGCTCACGTGGCCGAGCGAGGGCGCGCAGCAGGTAACGACGACGATACCGGCCTGCATCCCGGCCGGCGACTACCTCCTGCGCGTCGAGCACATCGCCCTGCACGGCGCCAGCAGCCCCGGCGGCGCCCAGTCCTACATCTCGTGCGCCCAGCTCACCGTCACTGGCGGCGGCACTAAGACCCCGACCAACCTCGTCGCCTTCCCCGGCGCCTATAAGGCCACCGACCCCGGCCTGCTGATTAATATCTACTACCCCGTCCCTACGTCATACACCGCCCCCGGACCCGAGGTCTTCACCTGTTAAGTTGCACGCGCGGGAGAACGACGATGGCCCGGATGTGGCGGAGAGGGGGGAAGTGCTGACTCATAGGAAGGATGTGTGGCATGTACATACATAGACATATCACATGGAAATGTGCCAAAGACAAACTCAGGTTATACCTATGAGCTTATCTCTTTCAAGTCGTGAGGGTCCTCAGAGCGATAGTCGTACGTGCCGGTGGTAGTTTATGACATGACACGAAAGGCCGGTTATGTATAAACCCAACGCAGTTTCGAACCGTCCACCTCTCCGCTGGAATAACAGGCAGCAGGGGGAGGGAAGATAGGTCTCATTTAAAATGTTTACGATCACGTCTAGACCGTCTTCTTGGGTGTTTTCACTGGCTGTGCATTCGCATTCGGAGTCAGAGCAAGGCACGTATATTATATGGTCGACATCTCTTCATTCCATCGGTATCAAAAATTAAGGCCGTAAAGGCGAATCCATTCCTCCCCACTCCACTCCCTCCCCCTCGGTCTTCTTATTCCACTTAGGCGGTCGTCGCGTCGAAAGATAGGAAGGTCGACGCCTTGCCCGCCTCAGCCTCGTCCTGTGCAATGTTGTTGTTGAGCTTCTTCTGCTCCTTGGCGATCTGGCTGGTCACGTCCTTGCCCTGGGCCTGTTCGATCTGGAGGCGGATCAAGGTGGCCTCGAGCTTCAGGACCTTGTTCTTGATCTTGCCGCGCTGGAGGGCGTCGGCCTCCTCGCCGGAGGCGGCGTCGATGGCCTCGTTGAAGGCATCCGTCTCAGCATCGTTGCAGATTCTGTTCACCGACTTCAGGAAGTCGATGTCGGCCTTGTCGGCGGCGGCCAGGTTGTTGAGATCGAGTGCGCTGAACACGGCAAGAGCCTCTTGCTCGGCGTTGCCGGCGACACCGCCCGAAATGGAGATGTCGTCGTAGTTCTGTTGGGTGAACACACCAGCCTGGACGGCCGAGACGGCGGCGGCAATCAGAGCAATGGAGAAACGCATGTTGGCGGTGATGATGACGGACTAGCTAAGCGTGTGGAAAGTGGGGTTTTAACGACCGAAGCGGGATCAACGGGTTTTGGGACGGCGAAGCGAAAGAACAGCGCAGCTGTCTGAATGTGGAATAAAGAGGGAGGAAAGGAGAAAGCCGAAGACTAGCTATCGGAGAATGATTAACGATGGGACGAAGACGATGTGAGGAGGGAGAAGGGAATCCGGGAGAAGGGGAGGCGAACCGGCTGTAGATCTTATAGACGCTGGTTTCCATAGTGGCGAGGAAACATCGCAACGCATGCTCCCGTTCTCAGCGATCTCGCGAGCATGTTTTAGCGAGCTACGAGGTCTCGTGTAGGGTCCCGCCGGGGCGCGCGCCAGATTCGTGCTAGAAGAGCTGGTGTGCAACGCGCTTTGCGTGAAGGGTTCCTTGGCTGAAACCCTGCCTCCTTTCTCGTAGTCGGGAAGCGGGCGGCGGGGAGCGGGGGACAAGGTCCGATAGCCTCGATAGACGAGCAGTTGGGACGCACCGATGACACCCTCCGAAGGAATCCTTCATTAACGGGGTGCCCTCGTGGTGGAGTAGCTTGGGTTCCGGAAAAGGCGGTACTGTCCACTTAGTGACCGCCAGAGCACCATCGTGAGGCTCCAGAGTCTCGGGCCCCCTGTGCCCCTCCCCTAACCCGGCTCGATTCCGGGATGTCTAGGTGCAAAGCGACGGAGATTGCGTTTACACGTACTCATACGTAGGTATGTGTGCACCCAGGTTACATACATTCTACTACGTGCGTGTGTATGTATACACGTATACCTACGCTACGCAGTATGTCAGTATAGAAATATTGAATGCCGAGTGGAGCGAGGATTTACGAGTATCTTAGTACGACGCCTACTGGACACGGAGTATGTAGGTGTGTACGTACGTATGCAGCGTATACGGCGATGTCGCTCGAGTGCTTTTCTCTTCTTCTTACCGTAACTCTCTTCCCCTTTCTCTCTCCCCCGCAAGGTTGAAGCGTTGCGCGGAAGCGAAGGTCGTCCCATCTCAGATGAGAAATGAAAGACGCAGGGATGGATAGAAAAGGCACGGCCTCGTTGGGGCTATCCAGGGTTTGGACAGGGGGGCGCGGCGACAGGGGTGAGCGGTTAGTCGAAGCGATGGAAAATCCGGGCGAACACGAAACTTGGCAAGGCGATCCCATGGCCGACCCGCCGTGGTGTCGGCGACCATGCCTAAGACGCTAGCCCCGCACGTCGCAGCCGCGCGAAGAGGAACTTCGAGATGCTGGCTGGGATTACCGCAAGGGGTGAGCCTAGGGGGGTTTGAAGCATGGGTTTCGCGACGAGGCCGGATCGACCGACTTGGGCGCATAACGTTGGCTCTATAGATAGTCGCGCATTACCGTCTCTGTGTATGTCCCACATGTATAGATAGGTAGGTATGTATAAGTAGGAGGTGGTAGGTAGGTATGTAGCGAAGAGGACCCAAGTCGATGACCCGCCCCCGTCCTACCAAGCAGATGGCGGTGATAGCATCAGACAACAAGCTTAATCAACACCTCATTCCCGTAAGGCTATAGCCGTAGATGAATTATATCATACGCGCGTTACATGTATATTAATTCTGCACATTCCGTGGGCCTATACTGATACTTGCTTATAGGTAGAGGTGCCTCTTATGTCGGTAGATTAAGAGGTACCTACCTCTACTCAGAAAGAGAGGTTGGCACCTGAATTATAGGGAGCAGGTACCTAAGGTGGGGAGGTACCTCTAGGCAAGTTCAAGGCTCCCTACTAATGTAAATTATGCAATACCCAACAACAAGAGCTGTGTGGTGTTTTTATCACTACTACGGGTGTTGATATCATCACTACTGCTAACTGCTAAACCTCTTCCCTCCCTTCTTCTCCCCTTCCCCCTTTTTGATCAGTCATCTAACAGGGTAACATCCTTCGAGCAAAACCGCCTTCGGAAACGTCTTTCTCCTTCTTTTCGTTGTTCTTTTCCAAACCTAGGGAACGGCGACAGGAAGAATCAGTTGTTATGAGCAAATTGTGATTATTCTATATTATTATGAAGCTGTCTGTGAATGCCCAGACTAGTTCGAAGCCCGTCGTCTTATAAATACACAATGCGACGCAATCAACGATGTCTGGACCGGCCTCTCGAGAGATGTCTTGATTTATAAGAGAACCATCGACAGTTTGAAGTGCGCGTGATATCGACTATTGGTCTTCCGCCTTTGGCTCTCCGAATTTCACTCGTTCTCTCCATATCTCTCCCACTCGCTCGTCATACCCCTCAGGGATGGCGACATCTCGGCTTTATAAGCCGACCCGGACCGCTCGGGGGTCAGGCTTAGGAGCACGCTGAGAAGAGAAAAGAGGCCGGCGTCGCGCCACTGTTCTCCGGGGAACTACACTATAATCGTAGAACGCATGCCAGACAGACAAACGGACGGACGGACGGGTAGATAGACAGGCAGACAGAAGGAAACCAAAAGACAGACAGACACTCAGAGACGCTAGCAGTCATGGCCGACCAGCAGCCGCACAAGAATGAGACCGAGAATAAAAAAAAACAACTGCACCTGGGCGCGTTCATGCGTCCGGTCTCTCTGCACACCGGGGCCTGGCGGTACCCCGGCTCCTATCCCGACGCCAACTTCAACTTCCAGCATCTCAAGTCCTTTGCGCAGAAGCTGGAGGCCGCCAAGTTCGACGCCTTCTTCATGGCTGATCACCTGGCCGTCTTGAACATGCCCATAGAAGCCCTGCGCCGGAGCCACACCACCACCTCGTTCGAGCCCTTCACCCTGCTGTCGAGCCTGGCCGCCGTCACCGACCGCATCGGGCTCGCCGCCACCGCCTCCACCACCTACGATCAGCCCTACCACGTCGCCCGCCGCTTCGCCTCGCTCGACCACCTCAGCAACGGCCGCGCCGCCTGGAACATCGTCACCACCGCGAACCCGGACGCAGCCCGCAACTTCGGCCAGGACGAGCACAAGGAGCACAGCGAGCGCTACGCCCGCGCCCGCGAGTTCTACGACGTCGTGACCGGGCTCTGGGACAGCTTCGCCGACGACGCCTTCGTGCGCGACGTCGAGAGCGGCATCTTCTTCGACCCCTCCCGCGTGCACGTCCTCGACCACCACGGGCCCGAGCTGCACGTCCGGGGCCCCCTCAACATCGCGCGCCCGCCCCAGGGGTGGCCCGTGATCGTCCAGGCCGGCCAGTCCGAGCCCGGGCGCCAGCTGGCCGGCGAGACGGCCGAGGTGGTCTTCTGCGCGCCGCGCAACCTCGCCGCCGGCCAGGCGCTCTTCCAGGACATCAAGGCGCGCGCCGTCGCCGCCGGCCGCAGCCGCGACGACATCAAGCTGCTCCCCGCCGCCCTCGTCATCCTCGGCGACACCGTCGAGGCCGCCCGCGCGAAGCGCCTCGTCCTCGACAGCCTCGTGCACTACGAGAGCGCCGTCGCCTCCCTCTCCATCGCGCTCGACTTCGACGTCTCCGGCCTCGACCCGGACGGCCCGCTGCCGACGGACCTGCCCGAGGCCAACGCGAGCAAGACGGGCCGCGAGGGCGTCCTTAAGCTCGCCGCCGACGAGGGCCTCACCGTCCGCCAGCTCGCGCAGCGCTACGGCGGCTACTCCGGCCTCGCCTTCGTCGGCACGCCCGAGACCGTCGCCGACGAGATGGAGCAGTGGCTCCTGCAGGAGGGCTCCGACGGCTTCAACGTCACTTTCCCCTTCCTGCCCCAAGGCCTCGACGACGTCGTCGAGAAGCTGGTCCCCGAACTGCAGCGGCGCGGCATCTTCCGCAAGGAATACGAGGGCACCACCCTGCGCGAGCATCTCGGCCTCAAGCGCCCTAAGAACCGCTTCTTCTCTTGAGTCATGAGAAGCGACGTAGAACCTGGTCGAAAGGTCGGCCTATTGCTGGTTTTTTTTCTTCCTATGTCCTGGCTGTGTGAAGGCCATCCTTCGACTCATTGGAAAACGCAGTCCCATTGAAATCTGACCAGCTAGGTTGTCTTTCTTAGTTCCCGAAACCGCTGTGTGCGGTGAGGTACTCCCTGATCCGTTTTTGGTGTTGGACTTGACTCAAGAGAATACTGAGGACGACGGTCCCATTGGCATGACGGCAAGACGTGACTACTCAGGGCAAGTAAAATAAGGGATCGGCCAGAGACAAGCGATCAACCTAGTGTATAGAGAGGGCAGATGCTAGGTACCGCGCGGCAATCAATATTCACAGCCCTTGACTTCAGGGGGATCAAGTTCATGGGACGACGCCTGGAAACAGGTCCACGATCACAGTAGCACCCGCGAAGGGCGGGTGATGCAGAATAGCCAGATATTATTGTTCGTCAATTAAGCAACTGGTGCGACGCAGCAAAGCGCTGGTCGCGAAGACAAAGTGAAATCTCAAACTCCTCATCACTCCAACCCTATGCCTCTTTCCATTTCCCTTCCCCGTGCCCTCTCTCGATCTACGCTAGTCGTCGTCCGTGTACCTAGGACCTGCGGCGGGCGTTTCTGCGCTGTAAGCACCTGGCGTCGGCGCCCCGTAATATCCGCTGGACGAGGCGAACCCACTGGCTGCTGGCGTTGGAGCGGCGGCCGCGGGCGTCGGCGCTGAATCAGACCCCCAACCCCCCTGCCAGCCTCCTCCCGGAGTAGGGGCATTCATGGCTCCGGGTGTGGGTGCGTTGTAGGCGCCAGGTGTGGGTGCATTGAGAGCGCCTGGCGTAGGAGCGCCTAAGAGGCTGGCGCCGGGAGTTGGCGCGTCGTATGCGTTCGACGAGCCGCTGGCACCGGGAGTGTAGCCCCAAGTATCGCCGCCACTTGCTCCCGGAGTGGCCGCCGAGGCGCCGTAGGGCGTTTTTGAGCCCCACGCATCGCCTCCGCCGCCACCGTAAGCTGGAGTTTTCGACCCGTGACTGAAATGATCAGGCGCTGGCGTCTTGGCACCTGAAGACCAGGCCGGCGTGCGACTTCCGGAGCCGTAGGAAGTTCGACTACCATCGTAGGGGTTAACGGTGCGAGAACCCTCTGCCCAGGCGGGCGTTCGGCCGCCGTCGCCACCTTTATTCCATGCGGGAGTCCGTCCACCTGGAGAGGCTGCCGACGGGGTCTTCCAAGACGGGGTTCGCGATGAAGCTGCCGTCGCAGGAGTGCGGCCTCCGCTCCACTCGGAGTTGTTGCCCTGAGGCGGTCTTCCTAAGAATCCGCCCGTACGACGGTTGTCGTAGTTCTTGATCTCGCGGCCAGTAACGCTATCACGAACCATGAGATCGCTCTTAGCTATACTGATTACCTTGGACTTTGTGTGCAACTCCACACGGGCATGGGTATCAGTGGTGTCTTTGACGCGACCGAGGAGCCCCTTGAATCCACCTTTCCGGATTGTGACGGTCTGTCCGATCAACTTGTCGCGCCCGAACGACGCCTTCGGAGGTGGCATGTCGGCCCTACCTCCGCTCGGATTCAACTTCCTTGCAGGGTTCATCACATTGAGATCGGGGCCCGAATTTCCAGCGTTGACGCGACCGCCTTTGGCGGATACGGTGGACACGCTGTTGACCTTAGACACGAAAATACCAGCGTTCTCCGTCGTCGTGTTGGTATGGCAGAATACGAAGGTGCGGTGGATGTGAATGATCTTGCCCTGTCGACCCATGCCTCCATATTCCTTGACCACGTCGTCCGGCCTGATTTCGGAGCCGTTGCGGTCAGCGGCCACCGCAAGCTTTCTCTTTGGTAATTTGTTGGCGACCTGAGATGGCATAACCTGTCTAGTATCACCGTTCTGATCTAGCACTACCAGCGTCTCACGATCCACCTTTACAATGCAGCCGACGGTCGTGGGGTCGAGTTGGACTAGATCGAGCAATGAATACTGCCCCAGGGATCCTTGCCCGCCAATATCGCTGGCCTCTCTAAGGTCCTTACTGAATACGGTAATTTCGGTATTTGTTTGGTCCGTCACAAGGGTGACGCGATCCTCAGAGATATTCACAACCATACCAACTTCGTCGCGGTAACGGCTGCCACCAATAACCTTGACGTGGTCGCCGGTTCGGAAACGCTTGCGCAAACCCTTCGTGGGCACCTCGATCGTCTGGCCCACGAGGCCGCCTTCCGTGACTTCTATTGTGACGATGTCCGCCTGGACGTTGGTGGCCTTGCCAACCACGCCCTTCTGCTCGCCTTCGTAGACCTCAACCACGTCACCAGGCAGATAGGTAACGTTGGCATTGCTGTCCTTGAGGCTGGCCGCGAGGGACTTGAGATCAATATTCTCCACGCCGTCTTCGCCCCCAGACGCAAACCTGGTAACTTCTTCGAGCGTCGGGTTCACGTCACTGACGACAAGATGCTGGATCTTGATATCTTTGACTTGAAATCCTTTTTCGAACTCGTCGCCGTTGTAGTTCCAAGTGCCGGTCTGGGCACTGAACTGGAGAGTGCGATGGTGTCGTTTGCGGGCCTCGACCTCGCTGAACAGCCTCTGTGGGGGGCGTGGACCGGCAACGGGGCGCTTTCGTTTCCCGTCTGGAGTCGCGGAGAGGGACTCGTCTCGTAGTCCATAGTCGAGTCGAGGAATGAAGCGTACCCTCGCGTCGAGGCCATTTTCCGTGATGTCCAATACCTGTGCAAGATCTCCCGCGTGTTTGGGAGGTCTTCGCAGCCGCACCCACGCGCCAGGTTCGAGAGTTGCCGTCTTCTGAACTCTCATAAGATCGGGCCGCTCCTTGATGTCGACCAGTAGAAGCTTAGATCGAGGGTAGACGTTCATCATATCTTCGAGTGCCACCAGAACATCGGACTGTCGGGGAGCCTCCACGTAGATAAGGCCCTTCATGATAGAATTAGGGCCACCTCGCTCGAATGCCGCCGTGATGGACAGCTGATCTTTCGTGTTGCGCCTATCGGCTATCCTCTTCGTAATGGCCTGGATAACCTCGCGCTCCTTTCCTTCTTTGCAGCGAACACCCCAGATACCTGGGTCGTCGACGCTAGGTAGGAGCAGCCGCTGGGGGACGATGGTGGAATCACCCATGCCCCGCGCGGCCCGCCGGTTTCCATACTTGCGTACATATCCCTCAGCGGCACGCTCGAGGTCTTCCTGGGTAATGGCGTCGCGTTGTCGATCGAGTTCTCGATGTCTCCGGTCATCATCTAGTCGACCCTGTTCGCCGAAGTCGCCTGGTTCTTCGTGTTCAATGAACCCCTCATTCTCCTCAGCTGCCTCTTCGTCATCCTCAGCTTCGTCCTCGTCGTCGACTTCGGCCTCGATATCAAAGAACGCGTTCCGTCTGTCGCGACGACGTTTGCGACGGTGGCCCTAAAGCGTGGGGGGGCGGCACGGTCAGATGGAAGAAAACGCTGCAAGGGAAAGGGGGAGTTGGGAGAGGTTGGTGGGATGGAAGGAAGGATGGAAGGGGGTGACTCACTTGGATCTCCTCATCCTCTTCGTCTTCCTCGTCCTCGTCCTCGTCATCCTCGTCGTTCTCACCGACTGCCTCGCCCTCTACATCATCCTCGTCACCGCCATTGCCGCCTCCCCCATTGCGAGCGGGCGATGCTTTTCGCGGTTTCTGGTCTGGCCGGCCATTCGCGTCATTACCGTCCTGGTTCTCGTCATCGCTGAGGTCGGCGGGTGCCGGGTTGAAGTCTTCCTCGTCGTCAGACTCGGCCTGATCATGGTCGCGAGGGTCGCTCATTATGGCGAGACCGTATGCGCGTCGACGAGAAATCGAGCTGCAGGCGGAGAGACGAAGTTAGAATCGAAAAAGAAGATGGAATAGCGGGAGATGAATATGGGAAAGCGATGATGAAGAGCAGAATGAGAGTCGATGGACAATGGATGAGGAACAGGGCGGATGGAAGAAGGATTGGTTGGTTCTTTATGATCGACGGCACCATCAATGTGCTAAATCTCTGGGACAATTCTGGAGAACGCAGAGCTTAGGTACCCAACTCGGCTTAGCCAGTTTTATATTTCCAGGTACGTATTCGCCTGGGTTTCAAGAACTTTTCCTGTCCCGTTTTGGCACCTGCCTCCTAGCTTAATTCACCTCACGCTCTCCGATATTTGTTTTTACTGTTTCATTACGGAGGTTTTCTTTTTAACGTAAAATAGAAAAATGCAAAAATTGCGTAACAGTAATTCTTATAAACATACCTCTCTAGGTTTGTAACGGTCTTACTGGGCGTCAGCAAATCGTTCGCCGGTTTCATAAATATCTAAAAAGGCACCTACCTCTAGGTAGGCACCTAATGTACGGATATACGTGGTACTGGTGCGTCGCGTCTGGCGCCTGGCAGTGCCTGGTGAGAATAAGCAACTCCACGCATCCTGAGATACTGGCAATACTGCCCTCCTCTCCCCTGACGAGATAGGTATATATATACCTACCTACATACACTATGACATTCCGTATAGTTACTTCGCACCCTAGATGGGGTTGCGAATGATCATAACAATATCAATGTAGGCACGCGCCGTAGATAGGTAGGTACCCAGGTAGGTATACATGTCAAAGGCTGCTTTCCAATTACCTACCTAGGTACCTACCTCCTACTAACTACCTGAGGTACCTAAGGTATACCTAGGAAACTTGCTTGTACTAGGTACCTCTTGGTAGGCACCATCCGTTCGTATACTCCAGTCCCCCCCCAATTCGTAACAAGTGAGGTCAATTATCGTGGCCTAGCCTTCGGATTTGCGATGAAGAGCTTCCATCTCCCAGGCAAGCCCTGCTTCGCCGCCCACCACAATCCGCCAGCCCAACCGCGATCCGTACAGATTCACCTATCGAGTCGTTCCCGACACCCAACCTTTTGCTCCCCTACGCAAATTGCTAATATACAGGCTGGAAATTTCGAACATGAGGCTCTCCTTTATATAATGGTATTTTAGCATTCGATCCCCGCCTCCACGCCTTGGCCTCTCGCGTAGGTAACCGACGGCGAATCGGCCTCCTTCCCCCCTTCTTTGAACGTGGCCCGTCATGGCTAACTATGCAAGGCTCCCCTCTCGTCCGTTTCCCGAGCCGCTATGCCCTGCCAGGTTGTTCTATTTCTATGCCCTAGGTATCCGTGCTTTGAGACGAAGACGTCTTGTCAATACACGTACCGCAACAATCCGAAAAGTAGTACTAATCTGGAAATTGTTGCTGCGTATTCTCGTCCGTCCAGGGGTGTGAGAACTGATGTTTCAGGAGACGGCTTAAACCCTCACCCCCCAGACGCCTCGTCCGCCGCTGACACCAAGCCAATCGCCAACGCTATCGCTGGTGGAAAGCTGAGGAGCCCAGCCCAGATTGCCGACCTCGTAGTCGCACTGCCAGCTAGAAACGGGGCTGAGGTGTTTCTCAGCCGATCCGACGCCGTTGGAGGGCGCGCCAGTAGTAGGAGTGCTGTTCATAAGATCCCACAATAGCACCTGGCAGTCGTCGCCGCCAGACGCGAGAAGTCCTCGCCGCCCAGGCGACCATTCCACCGAGTTGACAGACCCGCCGTGGCCTCGCAACTCCAACAAGGCCTGTCCGGGTTGCCGCACGTCGAGAATGCGTATTACGTTCGAGTCTTGCGCAAACGTAGCCAGCAAGTGGGTATCGTGAGGAGACGTGGCTAGCCTCAAGAGAGGGGGCGCGTGCGACATGGTCTGCTGAGCCAGCGTCGGGCTTATTCGTCCGCCATTCGCGTCTGCTAATACGGTTAGTACGTTCTAGAGGGCCACGCCACACCGATTCCCAGAGTCTCACCACGATCATCCTTGGCAGTTGGCTCGTAGATAATAGTGCTATGCTCCAGACTACGCAGGTCAAACATGCGCACACTACCGTCCTGCCCACAGCTGACGAAAACGTCCACACTATTGGCACAGAATCGAACATCGTAGACCTCTTTGTCATGTGCGATTAGCTGCGTCTTGGCAGTCAGTGAGGGGATATCCCAGATGGTGCAGGTCGTGTCGATACTTGATGTGATGATTAGGCTTGGTGAGACAGTATTCCAATCTAATGACGTGAGGGGGGCGGTGTGATCCGGTGTCTTCGAGTTAGACAGCAACGCCAAAGGCGTGAGTTTCGTTATCGGCGTACCCAGATTAGGCTTATTTATAGAGTTGGACTGGTTAGTTTGGGCATCGGATGGCAAGGACCAAAGCCGAAGGTGGTCGCCGGATGTGGCCAGGAGGTCCGTGGATTGCTTCTTCGAAGACGGGGGCTCCCACAGGAGACGCGTTACGGGGTACGAATGCGTTGCTTCCGCGACCTTGGTAAACTCCATGCTGAACTTGGACGAACCCGGCGTATATACATCGGGGGGTGTGTTCACGATTTGGGTGTCGAGGATTTGAATCTACAGGGAAAGTAGCGAGTCAGCGGTCATGCGGTCTTATTGAGCGTTATATTCCTCGGGGCGGAGTGGAAGCAACATACGAAGTTATGACCATCTTCTAGATAGCTTCCGATAGCTACTTTGCCGGCTCCTCTGCTTTGAGGCGCCCACTTGCACCAGTCAAATGCATAGAGCGCCCATGGAGCCAAGTAGTTGCTGGTAGACGGCTGGATGTTGGCAAGCTCGTACCCCAAGGTGCCTGAGGGACCATCGGACAAGCTCGAGTCTGCCCTAGGTCTGATATCCGCTAATCCAAGCGGCGTGTTCGAGATGTTCCTCTGGGTGCCTGGCGCACCATATTTAGGTTCTTGCGGTAGCATATATTGAGACTGGCCGGAACCAGTTCCACCGGGCGTTGTGGGGGTATAAGGAGAGTATGAAGTGGGGGCCCCCTCATAAGGAGCCGCCGGGCTAGATCGGGAGTAGCTGTGCGATAGACTCAGGGTAGGCGGTTTCGAGGGTGAGCCGTATTCACTTGGAGAGTGCTGTACGGCACTCGACATCGTAGGTAGAGTGGGTGCGGTATTGGCACTTAGAGCGGGTGGGCGACCCGGGGTCAGTCCGCCAGGCTGGAGAACATTCGGGACTCCCGAGTTTGAGTATTGAGGGTTGAGAGGCTGGGAAGCCGTTTGCTCCAGGTTTATGTGCGGGCCAGAGGCGTTGGTGAAGTCCCGCGGAGATATTTGTCCACCGTGGCTCACGGTAGGAGAAATATGAAGTTCATCATGCTGGGAGCCATATGTGTTCGTTCGTCTCGGGGCGCCTCCGTACTGGCCTTGCTGGTTCATATTGGTTGCGCTAGCGATCGCGACGAGGCCGCGAGATAACGGGCTAACGTAAGTCGACTATGCTATGAGCCTAGGGCTGCGGTGGGGGGTTGGGGGGTTGTAGAAGGGATCGCGAGCGAGAGAATCGATGAAGCGGAACGGTTGCTCGATTGATGGCCGGGGACCGGGGGAGGGAGGCAGGCTCGCGAGCGTCGCTAGCGAACTGGCGAGCCGGGTATGGTATTTCAACAGCGCGACGGAGGTTGACGCAGTCGAAGTGGGATATGCCCCTGCAGAATTTCACCAGGCCGGGAGGGAGGATCTGGTTGGGCTCCGGCGCTGGCGGTGCCACCACTGGTCCCGCTGTGACTGCAAATAACGCTGCTACCGATGACCCGCGACCGGTCTTTGATGATGGGGCAAGTTTCTGGTATGCAACAGTGCCCGCGCCCGCCCTTCCGGCATGGATTGGTTTCCGGGGGCCGCCTCTGTGGTTGTTGGAGCAGAAGCAGCGTTGCGAGAGGACGAGGAATGGCAATATTGGAGAAAATACGTAGGATAGGGAAGACAAGACGTAAGCAAGGTGGAACGAATGCTGTGGGGGCGGAGATTTCGGCCGGCTGGGCTAGTAGAATACTCATAGGTACCTACGTGTGGATGGGCCTTCTTGAGAGTTTCGGGCGGAGATGTGTACCTTTTTGTTCTCTTCGGGGTGCTACATCCCATAGATGTGCATACCCACCTGATGTAGGCACATACATACCTACCTAGGTACCCAGATGTAGGCCATTTAGGTACCTACAAGCCACGGTAATGTCACCGTAACCCCGCTACAAAAGGGTAGTAGGTAGGATCTCCTACGGAGATTAGCTTACGTGCACTATAATATACGACCTACCTGCTAATAATACTAGTCAGACTCCCTCGAGTGGGGGTTAGACATATTACTATATCTTTCCGTCTTCGCCTATCGACTCATCTCTCGGCTCCTCATGACGGCACCTCTCCTAGAAACTCCGTCCAACCCGGTTTCAGTGACGAGAATCCTCTCCGAGACTCGACACCTCGCCGTCACACCACCTAGTCGGGAACCGTTGTTGACGCCGGAGAGGCATTTCAGCAGCCGAGGCGCATCACTCTCTCCGACCTCCCCTGCCTCGCTGTGGCCTTGCCTGCCAGCGCGACTGCACATTGCGACTGCACCCTACGACCGCACCCTACGACCGCACCCTGGCCCCTCTCGTTCTCGCCGTCGTTCGGCTATAGGTCCCGATCGGCCTCGCCTACCACCCCTCACCACACGCAACGCAACGCGACTAGACGTGGCAATGGGGAGCCGTCTACCCTCACTCCTGTTGCTGCCCCCGCCCCCGCACCCCCCGTCCCGCTTGGCTCTTAACACCGCATACGAGCCTCCTCTTAAAGCTGCCATCTCGAAGTTGAACAACGAGACAGCCGGGAAGGATGGTGCAACGCTTATTGTCGCCCCCGTATTGCCGATCCTTGCGGGTAGCTCGGCGCGGCAAAAGTCACTGTCTTGGTCCCACGCGCAATCCGTCATAGCCGGCTTGTACGGTGTCGTATCCGCCATCTGCGCTCAGCTATCCATCCCCACCGATATCCACGCGGGCCCGGGGTCCGTGGATGTCCGCGTCGTTTTGGTCGACCGCGAACTACCGAAACCGGCTGCGACGGTTTCCAAGCCTGCAGTAGGGCCGAACAACACAGTAATTATCAACCTCGCCACCTTTGCCGCGGCTTATCATCCGTGGGAATATATATTCCACCCGAATAACGAGCCTGGTTACGAGCTGCTCTCGAATTACCTCAAAGTCCTGGAGGGTTTCCAGACGTTAAGGCAATCTCAGCTCGTCGTAGTGGAAGGCGGCCTCTCTGTGACTACCCGGCCGCCTTCCCCGTCAGGAGCCCTCTCTCATACTGCTCTTCGTGCTGTCGTCTGTTTAGGGGGCACCTTCGATCATCTTCACCTGGGACACAAACTGCTCTTGACTGCGGCTGCGATGCTGCTGAAGGTCCCTAAAGAGGGCGCACCGAGCCCGTGCCAATTCATCATCGGCGTCACTGGGGACGAGTTGTTGAAGAGAAAGAAATACGCGGAATACGTACAGCCTTGGGACGAGCGCGCAACAAACATAATAGATTTCCTATCTACTGTGCTTGACCTGTCTAGGAACGGTTGGGGAAAGGACAAGAGACAGCTTAGCCTTGAGAAACAAGGAGAGGTCGTTGCCGTGTTTCGGGATGGTACAATCGAGGTCCGTTGTGTCGTTATTCAAGATGCCTATGGCCCCACGGTCACCACGGAAAACATGGACGCCCTTGTTGTCTCAGCTGAGACAAGGGCTGGTGGCAACGCTGTGAACGAACGGCGAAAGGAACTCGGCTGGCGGCAGCTGGAGATATTTGAAGTTGACGTCCTTGATGCCGGCGGGATTGTGGAAAAGTCACCAGAAACGCAGGATTTTACGACCAAGATAAGCAGCACAGCTATTCGGAAGCAGAAGGCCGAATCGCTTGGCTAGTATTACACGTTCCAAACCACGCTCGCGAATAACTTGGGGGTCGTCGTGGTCAATGGTGTTCTACATGAAAATGGTCTGTCCCCCATCCATGAGGAAATCTGAGCCGGTGAAATAGCTGCCAGCACGGCTCGCGAGCATTACTACAACTCCCGACATCTCGTCTGGTTGGCCCATCCTTCCCAATGGATTACGACTGAGCCATATCTTCCTTGCCTCATCAAGTCCGTCGCCCTCGTTCAGGATAGTGTCCATATATCCTGGGGAAATGCTATTCACCCGGATGCCATACCTGGCCCACTCGCCCGCCAGCGACTTGACCATAGCCACCACCCCGGCTTTCGAGACGTTATAGGGCACTTGGGGTTGGGGGTAATTCGCTCTATGTGCTGACATGCTGGCTATAAAGACCATACTCCCCCCGGTGCCGTGCTCTATCATCTTCCTGGCCACTGCCCGGGCGACAAGGAAACCACCAATCGTGTTAACGCTCATTACGCGGTTCCAGTCCATCGCCGACCAATCCAGGGCGTGTCCGCAAGCGACTATTCCGGCAAAGCTTAACAAGGTACTGACAACGCCACCAAGAAGCTTGACTGTCTCATCGACGGCATGATTCACACCATCCTCGTCGGTCACGTCAACTTTCAGAAAGTGAATCTTGGCGCCGGGAAAGTCGGACGCGAGTGCGTCGATTCTAGCCTGTGCCTCGGCCGGGTTCATATCGAATATCATCAAGCCCTCTAATCCGTGCTCCAGGAGCGCCCTACACGCCGCAAACCCAAGGTCGCCAGCTCCTCCGGTCACAATTGCGTTGCCCGCAACGCGAAAGCGTTCTTGGGCCCGGGTTCCTGCTAGAGTCTCGCGGGGTAGAGGCGGGGGCGGGGCCGTCAAGGAGCCGGCAGAGCCATCGCTCAGCAGTACCCGGGGGAGAATCCGGTGCGTAAGGTCAGATCTCTCTGTTGCCATCTTCGGAAATAAACGAGGCACGAACTAGAGGAGACGAGAGAACGAGGGAAGTCGGAGTGTCTGCCGGAAGTTTGCTGAACCGCCAGGTCCCAAGCCGCGATGGAGATCGCGGGGTTATATTCTCTGCTAAGGATGTGCGAAACCGGCAGCATCACTCCATCGTGTCCTGGAACGCACGAGTTAGGATACAAGTGGCTGATGGCACGATCGGGTCAGGCCCATAAATCCCCATGTCTAGCTGGAGTCCACGGTGGAGGCCGTCGGAGAGCACAACGAGATTCATAGGCCAACGCCGGCCACCAACGACAAGCCAAGGCCGAACAACCCGTCTGATGCATGCATGCGAGATGGAGGTCACCGAACGTATCCGGGGAGACACGTCGATTTTGAGAGAAGCCATTTGCACCAATTCGGTAAACCGTCGTCTTTTCGAAGCTGCACCCGCCCCGGCGATCCCGACGCCGAAAACAGAGCGCTCATGGGCAATCCACCCCACCTGCCCGTCTCCCCGGAAAGGCCCCCGGCTTAGTATCCGGGTTACCCGAGGCTTCCGAACACTGCCTCACTCGCCAACAAGGCCAGCTGACCGTCGGACGGGCCATTCGGCGGGGGTTGTTTGAATCGGGTTCACAGAAGATGAGCGGCTTTCGAATGTCCCAGCCTCGCATACTCATCCGCGGTGACGACGCGAGTTTCTCGATTGCCATACTCGGAAACCTCGATGATGCTCTCTGCACAATGCGAAATATCTAGTGGCCGGCTTGTTCGTAGCGTTTTCCCAAGGACACCTCTGCTCTGCCATTCTTGTCACCTCTTCCTAATCGGCATCTGGACAGCTCGATTGCATTCATGAACTGGTCCCCAAGGTTCATCCTCGTCCCCCTGCTGACTTACGCCACATGAACTCCTACCATCTATGATGGCGTCGACGAGGCGGAGCTGAAGTGGTAATACCGATCCTTACAAGAGCCAGGTACTACAGGCTGTTTAATATCTGTCGGCTCGAGTCTAGTCTACTTTTTTATAAGGTCAAATCCGCCTTATAAGCCTTTCACCTCGCGTACTATATATCCTTTCCACATTTATCCCCCCACATTTTCGTAGTAGTTCCAGGTAATGATGGTTACCAGCCGGACGACAGGGTGATCATGATGCCGCTGCCTACCATTTGCGCCCAGCAGCCCTTGGAATCGCTCGATATAGACTCGATTCCCGACATCTCTGGGGTTGGTGTAAGTAAGGCTGCCACCCACGACCATACCACCATCTAACACCGCGCAAGGTTCTCATCGGGTTCGTCTCGACAGCATACATCCTCCTCCTTGTCGCTCTAGTTTATTATCTATTCAGCCATGACTCTACGAGGAACCCTCTCGGGACCTCCGATCAGGAGACCCTCGTCAGCTCATGACCAAACCCATTCGATGTGCTAGTTCTCAAAGTCGTGAGGGGATCGCTCTGTATTGATCCATCCCAATGGCGGGCCCTCTGCAAAACGGGGCGTTTAGAGGCCGCGTTTGCCAAGGTGATTCCCCATGCCCGTTCTCCTATGTGGTGGACTTCCATATGTATCTGATACAGAATTAGCTACTCAACTAGGCTTGGTTATTAACGCCGGGTGGTATGCCTTGAATATGTCCGACGTCCAAATCGTAAATGGCTTAGGCATACTGACAGCTGGTTTCGCGCTCCTCCCTCAGGGCCTGTCGGCCTTACACTGGAAGATGATTGCCTACCTTGCCTGGTTCTCTTTGGCAACTAACTCATCAGCACTAACATTTCTTCGGAGTTACCTAGTCCAGCACCCGTTCGAAATGGCACGGAGACCTGGGTCTATATTCATTCTGTTGGTGGTCGTTACGGTCGCTCTCGTCCCTACTGGCCACTTTTGGGGGGATTCTAGGAACTCTTACCTATATATACATCCCAAGTCTTCAAGCTTTGCCGTGGTTTGGGGCATCCCAATGCGAAATACTCCTCAGTACCCGCGTTTCTCACCGTGAAGTGTTTGAGGAGCGCATCGCTGCTTCAGGATATGATTGGCAGGGATTCCCACGCGGAGAGAGCGGCTTCAAATACCTATGATCGTTGCCGCTCACTTTGTCATCTGCCTTTGGGTCGGCATATTCACCTCTGTGGCATCCGAGGTAAAGTATACCTACGCTCTAGATCTTTACGCGCCGCCGCCTGTAGGTATATATTCCCACATAGCTGCTTACTCTGAGGGGCCCTAGATTTATTGGCGGGTTGTCTCCTTGGCTTGGGGAACCCTGAGGCTAGTTGAGCTATGAAGGGCCCTGGAAGCATCCTCTACTCGGCAGGACGACACATGGGGTCTCGGACAGATCCTCCCTGTGCTTCTAATGGCGGGATGGATCTTGATCCTAGTTCGGTATGGGAAGAAGGCATTTATTCTTAGTATGTGCGCTGCCTGCCTTACCGAACAGTCGTGTATTCCCATCTCACCTAGGCAAAGCGCATAAGCCAGCAATAGCTTCGCAAGATGACCCGCGAATGGACGTGGTCGAGTTCTCCAACAATCCATCACTTGGACAAGGGGGTACGGATTTCCTGCCATCACCAGAATCCCCAAGCCTTCTGAGCCTAGAGAAATAGCGAATCCTCGTCGTACCTACGTAGCTGGTGTCCCCTTGTGGCTAATGTTGGGTGTGGCGAGCGCGGTCCTCGAACACGACCAGCGAGCCCCAGAAAATACGGCGGCAACACCAACTGAAGCCCACGGGGCGGCTTCCGAGGACGTATCGCCCCGATGGATACTAAATTCAACTTCATTCACGGAGTACTACGGGGAGGGCTTGTGGATGTGTTGGGCACCGGCTACCTGCCTCGGCTACATCATCTATGTGACTATTTTTCTGTTAGATTCCAGGTCCGGATCTGGCGACTCTATCCAACGAATCGCCGCTATTTTCCTGTGGCTTGCCCTAGAGCAGGGTGCGATCATCCAGTACTATGTTCTCCTTTGCTCCTACGTTACTACAAGGTGGAGGCGGATGCATGCGGCGGCGCTCCATATCATCATGTGTTGCTGCGCGGCCGTGGCGCCTTTCTGTTCCGTCATCTCCGTCGTCACCTCACCCACCGCATCGGTGAGCGCTATCAATTTGTTGAGGCCTCATTTACCATCGCCGCAACATTCGGGTTATTCCTGATAGCCTCGATCGCTGCACGGATTTCGAGGGCAATACGGAAAGCTACGGGCTCATGCTTGAGGCCTGCACTACTCGCGTGGTGGCCACTCGTGGTCCTAGAAGCACGACATGTTATATACACCGTCCTGAAGGGTTTGACTCTTAGAAGGGATCTACGCTATGCGATAGGCCTTGGCATGTACCACGGTGCATCGTTAACGGAGGAATGACTGGTATAGCACCTCTTCGAGCCGCGCCTCCACTGGCCTCAGAGACCTGGAGCTAGGCTGGCGGCAAAGTAAAGTGCGTGTCTCGTGCATCTCAAATAGGGTTGCTGTACTACTTACGAATACCGGCACCGCACGTAGGATACAAGCAGGAAGCCTTCGGATATAGCTAAACAGGCGGAAATGATATGCTATTTTCCTGCTTCTACGATCCGCGCAGACACAATCATGGGTTTGACGGGGTCGTCTTTCTCCAACTGTGCTCCCTTTCCGGGGACGAATCCGCGATGCGGGTACAATAATGAGGCCCCCCTCCTCCCCGGTTGCTCCGACGTTCCCCTTCGTTAGGTAGGTAAGTGGAAGAGGCCGCGGAGAGGTACCTGGGAGAGGGGGGGACAGGGCAGAAGATCAACAGCGAAGACCAGGTCCGGTATTGGGCGAGACCCGTCAGACAGAGATCGTCGGATCAACTACAGCGACGAATGGGGTCCAACCCTCGGGGCTAGGTAATGTAAGTCACCATGAACCCGCGGAAGAGGAAGCTAGGGAGCGAAGAAGATCGTCGTATTCTCATGCTCAGAAGCCTAGCTCGCGGTATCTACCTACTATCTTCACAAATCCACATGCGTGTGCGCCATCCTCACGTAGCACGCATCTGTGAGCATAATTTATCTCGATCACCCCGTCCCGCGTCATAGCCGCTCTCGAAGGCATCGATGGGCGCGCCGCAGGGGCCCTCGTTCCAGCCGTTGTAGTACAGCTGTGACCAGCTGCGGACGGGGGCATCCTTCTCCTCTCCCTGCCCCCCCTCCGGTGCCCCATCCTCGGTTCTGTTGCCGGCCTGCAGGACCTCGCCGACGTTGCCGTTGGGGCAGAGGCTTGAGACGTCGCCGCCGACCTCGCCGCCGGCGCCGCCGCGGGGCGGGCGGCTATCGATGTGGTAGACGGCGAGGCAGTCGCCGCGGCCCCAGGGGTCGAAGCCGCCGGGTAGGTGAGCGTTGGGCGGCTGCGTGAAGACGGGCAGGAAGCGCCAGGCGACGCAGTTGAAGATGCCAGCGCACTGCACGCAACAGTCGAGCTTATTGGTGACGCCGCCGATGGTCACGGTGGCGGTGGGTGGCCGGGCACTGCCGGTGGCGCCGGCGCCGACGGCGGGCACGAGGGCCGGCGCGTTCGCGTGGGCCGACGGCGCGCAGAAGTTGGGCAGCGTCGCCGTCGGGTAGGATCCCGCGATCGAAGTACAGACGCTGACGGGCGCCTGGGCCGTTGTCGGCGATAGTGACGCCGGGGCAGGAGAGGAGGAGGAGGAGGGTGGCAGGTCAGTGGCCTGGGCGAGGAGGGTTCCTGAGGGACTGTTATCCTCGGCCTCGCTGCTGCGCCAGACGCTAGCGTGGGCCGGAGAAGAGGCGGCGGCTGCAAATGGTGGCTGGCGCCTGGTAGGGACGGTGATGGCCGTCGGGGGATCCGCGTAGGAGAGAGGCGTCTGGAGCGGGCCGAGGCGAGACAGGGGAGTGAGGCTCAGGGGGTGAGCGTAGCCAGTGATGGTAGAAACAGCGGCAGCGCTGGTGCCGGTCAGATTCTATATACGGACCGTATTAGCTCACAGGTTACAACCTGTCGTACGGGACGAATATGACAAAGCCACGGGGTATTTTCCCCCCGCCGCGTTTCTCACCTCCGGTGTTTGTCGGGACAGTACGAGTCCGGCGTGAGCTTCGTGAGCAAAGGTCAGCAGGAGGTAGGCGAGCGAGATGCCCGTGTTGAGCGAGGGAAGTACCGCGAGCATCTCGGATGGTGGTTGTGAGGAATGGTAGCAATCCAGAAGGCGACCCGTGCGCGGAAGTACGAAGAACACGAGATGGATGGTGAACAGTTGCAGGTTACTACTGTTGTTGTTGTTTGCTCCTTACCAGCTGATCTCTCGGAGAAGCGTCGTAGTCGCGTAAGATGGAATATGTCCTAGGATGATAGGTAGAGGAGCTAGCAGCTAGGATGGTATGAGCGGTAGGAATCCGTCAATTGATCCGAGCTATCCTTTATCCCGATTCTGAGCAGGTCCCGGAGGAAGAGGGGGTGGTCTCGGGTGAATTCATTCAAGGTGGACGGAGCACGATGGACTGACGCAGCGGATGGGATGTGGCCGTGTGCGGGTGAGACGAACGGATGAGACCCGTCGGCAACGACATAGAGACGAACTGGTAGGCCGGCTGCCTTTTACGTTAGGTGGGTATACATATATATATATTTATATTTATATTTATATTGACAAGTGTTATATATCTACATATGAATGAGTTGCGTGTTATACCTCTCAAGTTATGCCTGGATATACTTATATACCTGTGTAGGAACGTAGGTAGGTATTCCCTACTTCCTTCTGGGTCGTATATACGGGTGCGTGTATATATTAATGTAAGGCGGGTTGACCTAACACGCCTACAAATGTTCCCCTTCTCCCGGCCCATGGCGACGCTCATCGGCACAAGTCGCTCAGTTTGCAGATTTGGCTATGTAGATCGCCGCCGTCTGGTCTGTGATGCGATCCGCAGGGTAAAGTACCAGACACAGCCTAGTAACCCTAGCGAGACACTGCAGATCGTCGACAGCCTGTAATTAAAACTGCAACCCTAGGTAGAAGTCCGTCTGGATTCGAGATCGCGGGTCCCTTGCGGAGCGCAGCAGACGGCGAATTCGACTCGGTTTGTGAAATGCTTATACGTGAAGGAGGTAGGTAAGTAAAGAAGGGAGGATGCTCTCCTTTCAACTCCCATCCCAATCCCATCTATCTGGGTAGTTTGCTTGGGCGTGTAGATCACACTACGTAGTAGGCGTGTCGCGGCTGAGGAGTTTCAGAAAGCCAACGAGACGATGCAAATACGAAAGGCTGAAGATCGGCAGATGAGATGAACGGGGGCGCGAGAGCTGGGAGAGGATTACAGAAGACGCTTCTGCCAAGGCGTACGCTAGGATAGGTATTAGTAGGTATATAGGCTGGGCGTATACTATAGGGCCCTAGGGTAGCTCTCCCTACCTGGCAGGCAATCAAGGTAGGTAGAAATTCCTTAAATGCACTCAAGGAGCTAGCACTAAATAGGCAAGTACCTGAAATACCTGAGTATACCAACCTCTCCAAGGGATAGAAGGGAAGGCACTTATGTATGCGCTTTCTATCGTAAGTTGGCATGCGCATACTGGAGGTTGAGTGCCGAAGGAGGTAGGTACCTACACGTTGAGTACCTACCGAATGTACTGGATGGGTACGTACCATGTACCCTAGGATGACGCATCCGCTTGACCAATCACAACCTACCTCTTGATGCTGTGCTCTGTCTCTGAGTTCGGCACCTGCCAAACGTCCCACTTCTGTCTCTGCTCAGATACCAGGACACCGACCTAGGACGCACATGGCTTTATCGATAAGCAACCAGCCGGGTCTCTCGCCTCCCCCCTCCGTTAGCTCTAGGTCACAGTGAACACCTGGTCTAGTCTTATGGAGATCGGCTTTCTACTGTGACCGACCCAGACGTGTAAGCTGGCATCACGGGGGCCGTCGAACCGTCTAGTTTGGCTCTCCCCTCGCCCGTCTCGTCTCCCCTCTTCCCTCCGCATCGGTCCTCTCCCCTCACCACTAACGCCCGCACCTACACCTACACGGCGCGTGGATTCGCCTCTAGGCTCAGAGCTGGAGGCCTAGAGCCCGACAAGCACACCCCGACCGAGTCTCGGACCTACCAGGAGGAGAGGGAGAAAGAAAAGGCATGAGTTTAAGCGCTTCGTTGCTTTCCAGGCTGAGACCCGGTGAGGGCAAAATGACTTCCCTCCTGCCTCTACATACTTCTCCGCCACCTCGCGCGTCCGAAGAGCACGACCTCGACGATCTCTCCCCGCGCCCCGACGATGCACTTCTCTCCCCTAAATTCCCTAGCAGCTTCCCTCGTCGGAACAAGGTGTCTGGAGCTCCAGATAAGCTGGACGTCAACGCCAGAGACCCGGACCACAAGCCTCTGCGCTCAAAGGGGAAAGGCAAAGCTATCGCCTTTGCCTACCAGGAGCCGACTCGTTGGCGTTCTCGGGCCCCAGATACCCCTGATGATGACAGTATAGCGTCGGATAATACCAAGAACAAGCCAAGGGTCCCCCCCGGCATCTGGCGACCCTCTATCCATACCGAGCAGCGAGGCTACGGCCAGACTACGGCCGGATCCCACACCTCCTTCGTCGACAGCGTCTTCTTGCGCCGACCCGACCGGCCTTCAGATCGTGCCGCGCGTTCCGACGTCGATAACACATTCAAGTTAATGCAGCGTCGAGAGCACCAGATGGAGAAGGAGCTGCAGAAACTGCTCGATGCCCAAGGCGCTGCCCTGCAAAGAGAGCTCGATGGGACCGACGCGGCCGCGAGCTTGCCTAATGATGCCCAACCAGGGCGATCTCCAAGCTCGGCGACGTCGACTGCCCACTCCAAGCTTTCGGGAGCGTCTGTCGTCCCCGTACGTCAGCCAAAGAAGAAGCCCATGTCCAAACGCCAGGCTCGCGTCGGTATTGCTCGCTCTGTCACCATGTTGGCGGATCTGAAAAACGAGGAGGACGCCTACATCGCCGCCGCGTTAGCCGAGCGCAAGACTGCCCTATCGAAGCTGCGGAGCTTATCGTCGCAGCGTTCCTCCATCGCCGCTGAGATGAGGGCATTGGAAGAAGACCGCGAGCTCCCGATCAGGGCCGAGATAGCTACAATGGAGGGGCAGCGCCAGGAAGTCTGTGCTAATATCGATGTACTCGAGGAGAAACTCCGAATATTGAAAAGAACCAAGGCTGAACTGGAACGTAAGCTCGAGGAGGCTAAAAGCATACGGGATGCCAGCTTAAGCGGTTACAAGGGAGCACTGAGGCAGTGTGATCAAGGGATCGCAGACCTCATGAAATACCCAGGTATACGGATGTTGGAAGCCGACGATATCGAGAAGCAAACCGAAGATACCGACACGCTCTTGTCTAAGCGTATGTCTGGCTTCGAGTTCCTTTCGCTGCGGCCGGAGAGAAGAACAACTGAAATGGCCAAGGACTGGTGGGAAGGCGAAGTCGCCGTCCTCGAGCAACGCAAGGCTGCCGTTGATAAAGAACGCGCCGCACTGGAGGAGGGCAACGAGATGTGGCAGCAGGTGGTTGATCTCGTCAGCAATTTTGAGGGCACGCTTCACGATTCACTGCAGGTTGTCATGAAGAATTCCTCGGAAGTACCAAATCCCGATATCGGCAATCCAGAGTCTATTTTGCAGGAGCAATACGAAGCCATCAGGAGGATGCTGCGCGAGCTGATAGCGCTGCACGACTACGCGGAGTCCAAGGGGTGGAAGCTCTTGATTGCGGCCATCGGTGCCGAGGTTGCGCATTTCATCGGGGTCAAGGACTTCTTGGCCGCCACTATCCGCAGTGCCGGATACGACGATAGGTCGATCACACCGGTACATGCCATCTCCAAACCGAGCGGGCCGGGCGGCGCTAGCGACCTGGTCGACGTACGCGAGAACGGCGGCGTCTTGAAAGAATACAAGGACGATCCGGAGGAGGACGAGGAGCTGAGCCGGAGCGTGGTTCGGCGCTGGGACGACATCCACGACAACGCCGCCCCGGCCGTCCCGGCGGGCCGGGCCCGCAGCGCGTCCGCGGACCTGCTGGGCGCGAGCGACCGCGGCGACGAGAGCGACAACGAGGTGCCGCCGGGGCTCCTCGGCGAGGCCCTCGGCGACCGGTCGCGCGAGAGCGTCGAGGACGACGTGCCCAGCGTCAACGAGGTGCCCTCGGAGTTCCTGTCGATGCACAGCCCGCCGCGGGGCAGGGACCGGGCGGCGGAGGGCTACGAGCGCCGCGCCCGCGTCCGCAGGGAGAGCAGCGTGACCGACAACGCGGTGCCGCCGGACCTGCTGGCCGAGAGCCGTCCTGCCGAGGACGGCGATCCGGTCGACTAGACGTGGCTGCCGTACGCCTTCGCTGCTCGAAGCCGGGTCAAGGTGTATTGGGTTTTGGAACTCGGACTTGGTTCGGCGTGCTGGCACGCTAGAGAAAGGGGGGGAACTAGGAAGGGGAAGGTTGGGCGTACAGGAGGCATGGCAGGAGAATCATAGTTAATGATGGCGTTTTGGATGGGGCATCTAGGGTAGGGCGGAGTATTATTAGCTATGGGGCCTTTGCGGGAGGCTGTCTTCGAACGGACACACACACACAATCATCTTGCTTAGGCTTAGAAAGGGCGAAAGCGTCCGCGTCTCTCGAATAGCACTTTAGCACTCTTATTATTCATTACGATTACCCATTACACGTACGGCGTTCCAAAGATACTGAAGGCTTCGCCGGGGCATTTGGAATGATAAACAATCATTCTCATATCCTAACGTGACTACGCGATAACAACGGCAAGGCAAGATAGATGGCACATAATAGGAGTTGATCATCTCCTCGTATTCCCGTATGATGTACGCCGGTGACGGCAACCGAACTACATACAAATCAAACCGAGTAGGGTAGGAAGGGGGGATAGGAGGGTTCATCTATCCATTCGTCAATCCGTCCATTCCTTCCGTTCTACCGCGAGAACGGGAAATGCACCAAACGGATATATGAAACGATACAGCCAAACAAACGCCTATTCATGTCGAGGAGGGGGGATGGGGGACGGGGGAGGCAACCGAATCCAAAATTCCTCATAACACGCAAAGGCAAGCAAACATACTCTCCTCCCTCTCCCATCCTTTCCGAAGAGGACGTCGGGCGGCCACGTAGGCGTACTTGTAAGTATGGGGGATCTAGGGCGGCGGCGGCGAGAGGTAGTAGACGAGAGGGCGGGGGGAGGTTAAGACTTGGGCGATGATGATAGCGGCGATAGGAGCGTCGTTATGCGGGTTCGTCGCTAGTAAGACATCTCACACGTGGCGATACCGCTTGTCTGAGGACGACGGCATTCCTACTACCGCCCTATCGAGTGCGCTGAAACCAACCACTCGACCCGGCTATCGCAACAGACTGATCCATGACCCATTCGCCGACCCCCAGGTACTTCTCTATCCACTTGTTGGCCTCCTTGTTCTCGCCGATGGATACGCGCTCGGTGTTGAAGCTATACGGAGTCGGGGAAGGCGTCAGCGAATCTCGATGCCTTGTCGGACCGTACTTTTTACACCGCCACCTTTGTCCGCTCCTCTCCCTTGCTCTTTTCTACTAGGCCGCCTGTACTAAACAGAACAAAGGCATTCGAGGTGAGGACTCACGTAAGACCGGTTGACCGACGCATACCGGCGAGGATGGTGGAGACTAGGCAAGGAGACAAGAGGTCAGCTGCTGGGGAAATATTCGAGCGGTCGCTGGGTATTGCATACTGAGCACCGCGTCGACGGCGTAGTGGGTGAGTCGTCCGAGCTTTCCCCAGAGGCCAAATGTCAGTAAGTTGAGAAACTGTCAGGAAGAGAACACATTGATCAGAGTTCAGCGTCGTTGTCGTAATGAAGCGGGCGAGGAAGAGGCAAGGGCGCTCAGCTCCCGAGTAGAACGAGCAAGACATAAAACGAAGAACAAGCCCTCAAGAGGAGAGTTTCTGCTCTCACGTGTTTCTCTTCGTCGGTAGTACGCGCTCTCTCTCTCTCTCCCCGAACCTCTCCGCGAGTAGAGGTCGGCAGAGGAGCTGGTGCTCGGGGGGGGAAGGGGATGGCGTTCTGTCAGGGAGGAAAACATACCACCATCTTGAATGCGAGATGGCTACAACGAGAGTGTTCGAGGCGGCGATGACGGTGGTTTGGGTTCGAGGAGATCCTATCGGGGTCTCTGTCCGGTACGAAAGGAGCGGGTAGGGAGAAGTCCGATGGGGTTTCTGATTGCAGATATATTGGGTACGGGGGGAATAGTCGCTGGAGCAGAGCCGAGGAGCAGCTGAGGAGGGTCTGCACGAGATGATCGTCACAGGCGAGACAGGCCAGGCGACAAGAGGCTAAATATTGTAGGTGGTCGGTCAAGTTGGTGGTGGTGGGGAGGAGAGAGACGGAGAGATGTCAGGTCAGGCCAGGTCGGCGGATCTAGGGAAGATGGATGTACCACACAGTATTGTACGTATGGAAGCAGGTCACGCATGTAACTACGGGGGGACAGACACCCATATAGGTACACACAATTGCAACTGTGCATGTACCTGCGTGTGCATGTAGCCTTTGGTAGGTACCTCCTAAGACGGGCGGCACATTACTGAGCAACGACCTTATATGCGTACCTACTAAGGTACCCTCCCGCATTGGGAATAGTCCCGATTAGCCGATACATGACGGGACCTGCCTATGGATGTCTTGCTGGGCCAGCCGTAGCCCGCATACATTAGGTACCTGCCCGTGTACATAAAGTCGATATCTTAGGTACCTCCGCCTACCTACCTAAGTACCTACCTACCTACGTCTTGGGTACCTACAGATCAGTAGGTTACTTAACGAAGGATAGGTTCGATTCCTAACAGCGCTACTTGGTAGTCTTCGTTCTTTAGCTCATCTCCTACCTCTTGGTATGTTCGAGAGAGGGGGGCTACTCACAAGTATATACCCAGGTACCCACCTATTGCTTACCGCAAGTAACACCCAAGGAGGAGGCCCGTAGGTTCCTAGGTACCTATCTAAGGTAGGAAAGAGGTAGGGACCCAAGAGGTAAGTGCCTATAGCACGCATATCATGCATGTGTGAGGTGCCTGCCTTTAAGGTATAGCATCTGCGTCTGCCTCTTTAGCGGAATCTGCGATCGAGGTATAATGTGGCTTGAATACCTCTGGGGTACACCTACATCTTAGGCACCTACCGCAGGTACCATAAGTATCTACAGAAGACGATCTAGGAAAGCCACACCGCTACTTACTTAGGCACACACCTCACCTCTTCCTATAGCTATGTGCCTACATTCCTTCTTTTCGTACGTTGTCCGCCTGGGGATATTATGCCCTTGGACATCTGGTTAATTTGAAACGATACCGAGAAGATTAGCATGGCCCCTGCACTAAGGATGAACACGCTGCATCAAAGAGATGCTAAACATCTTTCGAGGAGAGGGGATACGGAATAGAACGTGTTGCGCACGAAACGAGAACAGAGATGCCTAGATAGGGAGCCGAGTGAGCCATACATATGTAGATAGCCTAGCCTAGCACGCCCCCAGCATAGCCTCACCCGCGGGTGTTGAATAGTATTACTTGCCAACACCGCTACTAATACTACTCTGTCTGGGGACGATCGTGTCCGCGGGCCACAATGGCCCTAGTTCCCGTCACAGCAGGTCACATTACGAGAGAAGTTATCAGCTAGTTACCTGCTGGTTGAAAAAAAGGAGAGAAAAGTAACTCCAATATGAAACTATGAAACGAGATGGTCTGCCCTCGACACCCTCCACAAGAGCTTACAATCGAGCAGAAACAGGACCAAGCCCTATATGTTGTACGAGGGAAGCTGACCATCCGGGTCCGAGAGGGTTTGATGGTGCGGCGGCGCTGCTGCATAGGTTGCCGGAGCTACGAGTGAACCGGGCGGTGGGTTTAGCATGGAGATCAAAGCAGTCGGTACGGTCAAGCCGTCTAGCATAAGCAGCGTTGGAGGCGCATAGCGCTATGTGTGAACATAACGTAGGCATATTAGCACGTACTCTTCGTTTGGGCCCTTGATGTCTCTATATATGTTGTCGAAATCTTGCGCCGGAGTCTCAGCTGGAGTAGCCCAACTATAATAATAATATCTGTGATTAAAGCCGTCACGATAGCTACTCTGCCGCCTTCCCATCCACAGAGCTCGGCGAGTCGATGTAGTAGTGACACTCCCGTAGCCTCTTTAGGCTCTGATAAATGATAAAACTAATAGTTGACTATACCTTATAAACGCGAGGTAAGTGTGTAGTATGATGTCGTAGACACACCAATGCTGACTTGCTTCGTGTTTCGAAGCTTAGTTGGATTAGCGTTTTCTCTGTATTAACAGACTCTATCAGTACGGTATTAGAGTGCTCTCGATCTCTCCGTGATATCATACTGAGGTCCGAGGAGGAGTTAAAAGATGTTGGTGCTGGGCGGTGCCCCTCCTCTCCTTTTCTTCTACTTTTGAATACCGAAAAGGCGACTCGGTAGGGCTATTCGTGATATTCCATCGTGCATTCGCCGACGAGGGAGAGATTCTCGTCAAATATTTCATAACCTCTAATAACTCGCTCTCTTCTCTCGAAAACTCGTACTACAACGTAATACACCCGCCGCAGCCATCGCGTTGCAAGGAGAGGATTGAAAGTCTCGATTGGTCACACATCGACGAGGAATGATAGTATCAATCCCGTCGAACCAAATTTTAGTCCCGTGGCCTGCACAGAGCGAAACTGTAAGTGATATGAAGGGCAAGGCTGGCCCGAGGGTGGAGGACGGCTGGTTATGACAGCCAAATTGGCCTCGCTGGATGGCATTCACATCGCCATCGCCGTAAGTGCTGCCTCGTAAGGCGTTCTCGGCCGCACCTCGGGGCGGCTACTCGCTCGCATGGTAGCACACAGAGATGCAGTCATCTCGGACGAGTGGGCTTACGGTGCGATGTTGCAAGTGCTGCGCGCTGCCCTGCACCAATGAGGCCCCGGGAATGATGCATCTCATGGTTTCCTGCAGGCTGAGCTCGCCATATCCAAACATCAGGACATCGGGGTGGCCAGTACGCGAGCGGGCGGCCGATAGATAGATCTATACTGCCCTCCATCTACCCTCCTCTTCACGTCCGCGCCTGACCTTGTCCCTCTCAAGCTCGATAAAAGCCCCCCTCACCCCCTTCCCCCCTCCCCCGCGAGCCGGAAAAGGGGGCGCAAGCGGGGCTTCCGTGATGGTTCAAACCTAGCTAACGTCCTCCTCTAAACAGCCGAGAGCGCGGTTTCTTTTCCCCCGCTGACGCGCGATCTCGGCCATGGCTCACAAGTCAGCCGGACGTGACTACTACGCCGTTCTGGGCATCGACCGAACGGCAGACCCGGGGGCCATCAAGGCAGCCTGGAGGCGGCTCGCCAAGGCCAAGCACCCAGACAAGAACCCCGATAATCCCAACGCCACGGTGGAATTTCAGCTTGTACGTACCGTGCCGAAGGCAATATCCCGTCCTCTGATCGACTAACATGAGAGGGGGCGGGATGCAGCTGGAGTCCGCGTACTCGACCTTGAAAGACTCCCGCCAGCGAGCGGCGTACGACGAGCAGCTGTCCGCGCACTCTGCCGAGCCGAAGGGGGGCAAAACGGCCGCGGGCCGGGGCTCCGGCGAGGCGCCGAAGTGCGAGACGCGGGGAGACTGGATAAGGGACCTCGGGGAGAGGCTGGTGGCGGTGAGAGCGGCGAGGGCGCGGGCGCAGCAGCGCTTCGAGGCGGCCAACTGCGAGTACGACAACCTGCACGAGACCGCGCGAGAGACGGAGGAGCTGGGGGTGCAGCGGGGGCTCATCGACACCAACGAATTCGTCTTCGGTGGCGGCGGCGGCGGCCGGAAGAAGCCCAACCTCTGGGCCTCGCTCGCCGGCACGCTGGCCGGCGCCGCCAAGTCGGAGCGGCGCAAGCGCGAGGAGCGCGCGTGGCGCGAGGCGTGGGAGCAGCGGCGGGGCGACCTGCGCGCGGGGCTGCGCGCCGTCGGCAAGCAGCGGGACTGCGAAGCCGACGCTCTACGCGCCGCCTTCGCCGCCCACGCGTGCCTAGCCGACGAGCTCGCGAGCCTGGAGAGGGAGGAGCGCATGGAGAGGCAGAGGGAAAGGGAGAGAGAGATGGAGAGGAAGAGAGAGAGGAAGAGAGGGAAAGAGGAGCTGAGAAAGGAGCGCGAGCGCAGGACGCATAGCTGGAGGAGGGCGATGAGCGTGGCCGAGGAAGAGGAGCAGGACGAGGGTCGTGAGAAGGAGCGGACGGAGTGGGTCGACGACGACTACGAGTACGACCGCCGGAGGTATCGTATGCGCCAGCATGAGCGAGAGGCTGAGCGCCGGAACAAAGTCTCGTCTGGATGACGGCCGAAAAGGAGTGGGGGGAGATAGACGGGCCGAGATTCGACTAGGGATTTGTATTCAACCGACCTTTTTTTTATCACGTCCGGCAATTACTGGGAGAAAGATATCAGAGCACTGTGCAGATGACAACATTTCCCCCCTTTTTGGAAAATAGGGCCTGTGTCATTGATGCGTCTCAGACGATCTTGCCAAGGGGGAGAAAGGAAATCTCAAGAGGGCATAACTCAATCTATGGTCTAGACGGCCCAATACATGCGGCACAGAAAGACGGCATCGGTAGCTGTGACGACCTCTCTATAGTTATAAGTATAAAGGATAGAAGGCGTCTGTTTACCCAACCTTTTTATATGCGCCCGTCTCCTCGTTGATGCAACTAACCCAATTTTTTCTAGGAGAAAGCTAGCAAAAGCATACCTACCGATCTAGCGACTAGAGATTCTTGATCGCGAACCTATGCCGTAAATATTCTCCGTACCTGATAATAACAACCGCTACGGGGAATAAAGCAACAGCGATGAAGCCGAGCAGACTGTTGCCCCAGCCGATGCCTAGTTTATCGTACATCGGCAGGCCAGCCAGCGGGAGCACGGCGCCGGCTGTCGATCTAACCACCGTATTAGATGCGATAGCCGAAGCGGCGTAGATAGTAAAGGTATCGACGAGGTACATCTGAATCGTCATAAAAACGAGGATATTGCCTACGCCTACCACGGTCATTCCGATAATAGGGGCGATCCAATGTACCCTGTAGGATGCCGTCCAGCCGTAGATAAACAACCCAGCCGGGATCAACATGGCTCCAACGGGGAGTAGGGGTAGGCGGTATTCTGGCTTTATACCCGACGTAGCCTTGCCAGCCGTCTGAGCTTTCGCATCGTCCTCGGCCGCCTTCCTCTGTATGTACTTATCAGAGGTAAGGCTAAATATGGCAATTCCGAACAGGCTTCCCGCGCCGAGCCCGAGGAAGGCTAAGCCGACCGTGCTCGTAGAGAAGCCGTAATATTGCATAAACACTTGGGTGATAGTAGTGAACATGAGGTATAGATAGCCGTACGTGACGGCCATGTAGAGGGCGGTAATAGCGACGATGGGGGAGAGGAACAGCATTCGAAAGGGTCGGATGATGCCTCGCTTGAAGTAGTCGCTGGCCGATAAGCCCACGTCGAGCTTTGACCGGATCAGGTCGTTACCGGTCTCCTTGCGTAGCCGAGCAGCCTTTTTCTCCAAGATAACGGGTGCATAGCTCTCTTTCATGCTGAAGAGCATCAATATCGTCAGGAAGCCACCCACAATGGTCAGCAACCAGAACGCCCACCTCCAGCCCTTGGCGTCGGTCAGGAAACCCCCAGCTACGGGACCGATAATGGGTCCCAGAAGCGGACCGATGCTGAATATGGCCATCGCGGCTCCTCGCTTCTCCTGAGCGATCATGTCAGCGATAGAGCCACCGCCGTTCGTGATGGGCGCCGAGCCGAACACGCCCGCGAAGAACCGGAAGACGATCAAGGCGTTCAGGGTGGGGGCGAGTGCGCAGCCAACCGAGAAAGCCACAAATCCGACGTTACATATGTGGTACAATATGACCCGACCGTATATCTCGGAGAGCGGTGCGAACAACATAGGGCCCGCCGCGAAACCCAGCACGTACACCGACACTACGAAAGCGGCAATCTCTAAGGAGGTGGACTGGAATTCGCGCATAACCTGAGGAACGCCGGGGGCGAAGACGGCTACGTGACCACGTTAGCGTTGACCTAAGGTATATAACGCTGTGTCGCACACATCTCTTTTTTCTCTCTTTTTAAACGTAGGTGCGTATACGCAATGCGGACGGGGGGGAGGGCGCAGGTTGGTAACTTACACGATGCGAGCGGGGAGATGAACGTCATAGCACTGATGAGACTGCAGTTGAGACCCTTGCGCCAGGTCGGCCAGTTGTACGGGTTCTCGGGATCGTTGGGGCCGTCCCACCAGACGACATTGGCGTCGTCGCTGCCATCGTCGTTTTCGTCGCTGGCACCCAAGAGCACACCCTGGCCCGGCTGGCGGCCCTTCTCGACGTCGCGATCAGCTTTGCTCCTCTTGCTGGCGATGGAATTCCTCCTCCGCTCGGCTATCGATCGCCTTCGCTTGAGCTCCTCCTGTTCCGTAAGCACGAACCCTTCGCTCGACGGGATATCCGCGTCGTGACCCTCGTCCACGGCCTGGCTTATCTTGCGACTGAGCTGTATGTCGACGTCATTGTCGCGCTCGCCGTCGGGATGCGTCCCGGCGGCGGTCGACGCCGTGCTGGACGTCATTGATGAAATCTAGTCAGCGGGCAGGCGCCTGTCAACAACTCGATTCGATACGGATCAGTCTAGCTAGCTAAGCCAGTAATGTCACCCAAGGCTAGAGATGCGACTGAAAAACAAACGAAAAAAAAAAAAAGGGCTGGCATGCGTGAGTTGCAGGTTTAGAGAAGGCTTACCTGTGCTTGGCTTCTTCGCCGAAGGCTTGGGCGAGTCTAACCCCAGCGCGACTGATTGGCACTGGGAAGGCTTGCTCGGGTATGGTGGTATGATACTATGCGTCCCGGATGGGTAGGTGGGCGCTGGGGGTTCTAATTAAAGACGCTCCTCGTGTCTGGCGCTTGGGTTCTGTGGGCTCGTTACCGCTATTCGTACTAGGCTGGACCGACGACGCGTCTTGGGATGTCCTTGGGATCTCGATTTCACCTCACTGACGGAGGGGCTGAAGAGGGAGGAGAAAAAGGAAAAAAGAAACAAATAAAAAGAAAGAGGGAAGAGGGAAGAGATGGATGGGTCAGGTCCAGGGTTGGTTGGGAACGAAGCGAGAAGCCGGCACATACGGGAAGGGCAGATATCACTTACACCGATCCCGCCTGTGCTCTGGCTGGGACTCGAGCGCGATGTCACGCTCTTTTTCCCTTAAGCAACATGCGATTGGACCCCTGGCGCTGGTCCCAGGACGAACCTATTCATAAAGACGAAGATGCAGCAGCTCGAGCGAAAGAGAGACCCCTGATCGGGATTCCCAGCGGTTCGGGCTGGACTCCGACAAGGGCGGGTTCGACGGTGTCCGCCTGACAGGCTGGCCCTGCACAACTTGTTCATTATTTTCTGACCGGCACCCGCTTGCCACCAATCATCAGCTGGCCATCGGATTTCGTGTCTATATCGGAGAGTCGGCGTCGCGGATGGGTGCGAAACCCGGACCCAACGGCCCCCTCCAGCAGGGCTTGTAGCAGCCATACGTCTGGTCGTTGTCGGTCCTGTCTGTCTCTGTCTGCATATTAGCCTATAGGCCACATGTTCGGTACTAATAGTCGGCACTAATAGTAGGCATGGAGGCAGCGGCAGCGACAAGAAAGGAAAAACTTGTACAAGGTCGCAATTTGCACATGACCCAGGCCGCAGCACGCACCGTCCTATAGGCGACTCCATTCCGGCCCTCGGCGGATGGGCGACGGAGGCAGAGGGGAGGGGAGAGAAATAAGCTGACCTCTTTGGCTGCTTGCTGGTGTGTTGGGTGGATGGATAGGTACCTATCGTTACCTCTGTTCACGGAGAGATCGCGGGTGGCACACACACGCGCACACGGTAACAATCTGATCCGATATGCCGCTACATAAAAATCCCCGCTACCTGCTCGGCCGGGGGAGGGATGGGGGAAGCTGTTGCCCCAGATGGATCTAACGGCACTAGTGGTAGGCACGAGCCAGGAAGGCAGGGAGAGGAGGGAAGGGGAAGCTGCCGGTAGTAGGCTAGCAGGCAGCCAGGTACCTAAAGTACTTAGGGTAGTGTAGCAATATGGACCTATGTCCCACCCTGGAGTTTCCCATATTTCCTCTCGTCGAGGACGTCGACAATCCTTACTAAGCAAAGTACATACGTATCTCTCGGGAACATCTGCGGCTTGCTATGGGGGGCAAACATGCCGCAACCTGCTTGCTGACGTAGGCAGGTACGCAGGCAGGTTACCTACCTAGGTAGGCACGCCATGCATACACACACATGCATGCGCCGTAACACTCGGGCGGTCAGCAGCAAATCTGCACACCCCTAACGGGTTGCTGTTCGACATACTCATAAATATATGCATATAATTATATATATTTAAATAAGTAGTAATCAAATGGAAGACCGCCTGCACGTAGGTACCTTATCAGAGACCCTCTCTCCCCTCAGACTTAGACGCCGTAATATCTGCCGAACAGCATCTCTTCCCCCCTCTCTCCATTTCTGGACAACCACCGGCCCCCCCTCAACTCCAACCCCTTACCCGTATCGGTATATACAAAGTCGGCTTTACAGCACTCCCACTCTTCTATACGCCTCCCCTAGCTGAATTCCTAGCGGCAGCCAATTAAGTAACAGCGCCCTCCATACGCTCGTCCAGGCAATAATGCCTTGTCAGGCAGAGGACATCGTCGCCCTTGGCACCGCTCTCCTAGTTCTCTTTTGATTTTAGTCTCGGATATATCATCGCGCCCATAGTCGCGAGCCCCAACGACTGCCGCATTGCTTACCCCATCGGCGGAAACCGGGTTTTTTTTCGGTGGCAGCGAGCGGTTGCTGGGGAGAGCGAGACGAGACGAGACGAGACAATAGAGTGTATACCTAGACTTATGGGAGACCTCCTAAACATGGCCCCGTCACCCCGAATTCCGCATGGTATGATAATAGGTGACCACGCCACTTTCCGAGCATCAGTGCGCGCTGCAACCCATCGCTACCCGGACCCGACGCGCGCGAAGGCAGTACTGATAGTACTCTCCCCCCACCCCGTCTCTAATATAAGTTAGGGTACCGCTCTACGGACCACCCCTTCACGGACCAGGCATTTTGTATGGGGTTTACATACAAAAAGTTTATTTTAATAAAAGCCATAAAAAATCGGAAAAAAATCGGAAAAGTCGGAAATTTGATTACGTAATTGGCTTACTTAATTTAATTAACATATGTTTTTTCCGAATTTTTTAGTCTATAAAATAAAGAGTTTTATACGATTTTAGTTTTTTTTTTCTTACACTAACAGTTTCCTATATAATTTATTAGGGAATCTAATATAATAGTACGAAATTACCCTTTTAAAGTTTTTTTTAACCGTAATAAAGTGGAGTTATTACATAATTAAAGATAGGCTAATTAGAAAAATGATTACTATTACTAAATCTTATTTTTATTACTTCATTTTATTTTTATTTAATTTTTTATCTAAAAAAATAGGTAAATTTTTAAATTTTTAAACCTTATTTTATATGGAAAACCTAAACTTTTTAAATTCACCCGATTTCCAATATAAAATTCTGAAAAACTTTTAATTAAAAAACGTCTAATTTTTTAAGATAATAAATTAAATAAAAATAAAATCACCTAATAAAAATAAGATTAAGTAATCATAACCATTTTTCTAATTAGCCTATCTTTGATTATGTAATAGCTCTACTTTATTACGGTTAAAAAAAACTTTAAAAGGGTGATTTCGTATCATTATATTAGATTCCTTAATAAATTATATGGGAAACTATTAGTGCCAGAAAAAAAAAACTAAAATCGTATAAAACTCTTTATTTTATAGACTAAAGAATTCGGGAAAAATATATGTTAATTGAATTATATAAGCCAATTACGTAATCAAATTTCCGACTTTTCCGATTTTTTTCCGATTTTTTACGGGGAAAAATCGTTTGTATGTAAACACATATAAAAAGGGTGGTCCGTGAAGGGGTGGTCCGTAGAGCGGGGGTCTAGCTTACACATAGAACGGTCGTCTTCGATGCTGTTCAGGGAGATGATGCACGAGAAATGAACAGGTGACACGACGGAGCCTCAACGTTGTAGAGCAGCAAGCCAAGCCAGCCTAGCTACCTATATAAAGTCGCGAATCGATCAACGGTGCAGCGACAAGCCTGTTGGCGCCAACAACATCAATGTGCATGGATACATAACTCATACATAACTAACCCGTACTACGGCATGTTGCTGTTTAATTTATAGAAACGGCAGTGCCTCTTCTCTGCGATACCACGTTCCCGGTCGACGGCGAACAACCCCGATTGACATTGCGAAGCCTTGCTGTCACCCGTGCCCTACCTACCACTGTGCCCCCCCCCCCCCCTTGCCCCCGAGAACGCCGGATATCTCCGGAACACGACGCGCCCGGCGCTACCCAGCCCGGACGGTCGCCTCTTCGTGGAGTGGGGCCGGTCTCTACCTTACTGACGAGAGGTGATCACCGATGACGGTTACCGCCGCCCCCGGTTCGTGCGACTGTGGCGGATGGCGTGACGGGAGAGACGGGGCGTCGGCGATCAACAAACCATGCCGGACAAGCGATCTTATGGGCAGCGCCACTCTGTCCACTCTCCGACGTCAAATCCGTCGGGCCAAGGAACACGCCGCCCCGGAATCCATCTCGAGGTCCACTCGCCCCCAAACCCTAGCTAATATCTGCGACATAATGTTGTCATTGTAAGCCTATACCCAGCCCAGCACAGCTGCCCTTTCCGCGGAGAAGGCTGGAGCAGACTCGGCAAGAACGCGTATACGCGCAGCGCTTCGAGGAAACCTGATTGATCAGGGTCGGATTTCCTACGTGGCCTGATCTGAAATAGGGCTTGAAACAACCAAGGTATGAAAACAGGGCGGCTAACTCGGTATTAGGTAAATACCGTAACACCGAAGGAACCCGGCACGTATTCCCCTAATGTCGCAGCGAGACTGTACGTGTCGTTGAACTGTCCAGCTTTATCGAGCGCTCCCCTGTGCTGCTGAGATAGCCACAAGGGCATATCGGCATGGCAACGGAGTGTACGAGGGGTATTGATCCCCCAGTCACGAAGGCTGGATGTTACCTGAGTACGGATGGGTCGATCACAACCAGACAAGTGGTGAGTAAGGTTATGTGTTAACCACTCCAGCGAGTAAAATCTAAGCCCGGGTTTACAATATATAATAACATACGCCACCCTACTTATCACGTGAAAACGTAGACGCTTGCGTTTCCCTCGTGGGCTATGTAGGCTTATATAGGTAGCTCTCCCTGCGTAACGCCCAGTTCTCCCACACCGCTACAGTCTCTCCAGTCTCAAACCATGAGCACGGTGAGGAATCCTGTAAGGTAGGGGGAATTTATAGCCAGCCACAACAGGTACTCGCTAGCCCACCCGGCCTGAGCTATCCCATAGAGTACCACAAGGGGGTTGGAGGTAGTGGAGGCTCCTGCACTCGAAGCACACACACTTGCCCTATTTCAGTGGGCGAGATCCGTTGACAACAGGGCGGCTCGACTTCTCCACCAGCAGCTGCTGGTAAGCATTGCCCTCATGCCCACCAACTTAGGTGTCACGGTCTGGTTAGTACCCCGCGGGGGATTCAGCAGTTGGTCCTCTGCCTCTCGGTTTGCCGGGCGGCTCTCGTGGTCTGTCCATCCCCTCCAGGATAGGTGACGGCTAAGTTGAGGCCGCGTGACGCGTGCCAGATATATACCTAAGTACGGGAGAAGGGAGAGGAGGGCAAAATCAAATATGGGAGGAGTCATTAGGAGGGGCCAAAACCACTGGACCCGCGACCTCGGGACCAGGGCTATATATCGTAGGCATGTATATATATCCATCCCCGAGGTTGCCAGGCGTCATCCATCCCGACGTATTGAGGTCCTCAACTGACCAGACGGGTAGAAAGTAGTACCGTGTAATCCTGGCGTCGCCACATGTTTTCGCCTGACGATATGAGCTCTTGTCGATGAGCGGTATGGACCCGGAGGGATACTCGACCGCTAGTAAATTTCATGGGGACTCGAGCAAAGGTTGTCTAGTTCTTAGTCAGTTTCAACGAAGTCGCCATCACTAGGACCGACATTATCACAGCACCTCGACTGATGGTTGATTCGCAGGGACCTGCAGCTGGAAGTCTCAGCGCGCCACACCTCCCGAAAAAGTTTGGCCAAAGCCGAGGTATCACCACAGTCGTTGGGGAGTCCCGGAAACTTGGCCTAATCGTCGAGGTAGTCAGCCCAGGTGGGATGGGCGAGCAGGACCGCGCCCAGCTCACGCATGAAAGTGCGCTTGGCAGACAACTAGGCCGAGAAGCCCGCACCACCGCTCGACAAGCGGCAATCCACCTAGTATTGCTAGTTGATGAGGGCGGATTCATCCTAACCAATAGGAATCAGACTAGCAAATCGCCGGGGAAACGGTAGGTACTCACGGCGTTGAGGCCAGGATGGTATGCCCATTCGCCCAAGTCCTTGGGTTTGGCGTGATGTGAGCCATGTGAGTCGTATACTACCTTCATTCCAGCTCCAGCAAGGTTCACAGCATCAAAGGCATCTTTTCGGTATTGGTCCTGTGGTTGTAGGAAGCTGTTAGTGGGGTTCGGGTTCAAGATGAGTCGGCGCGGTTCTACGCCGTACCTAGCTCAAGAGCTGGCGGCGGCGGTTATTTACCCAACTTTCGTGTTCTTGGTTGGGCTAGGAGAAGAGCTGCTTAGGGTTGGGTGAGAGGTGATGAAGGAAAGGTGATGATCGTCCGAGATTCCTAGAGTTACCTAGTACGTTGTGTATTATCCAAGAGTGGCAGCGACTGGGTAATAATACTGGTTGATGATGCCATTGTGATGGTGAAAGGTCATTTTACAGCAATCACGTAACTAGACTCATTTTGAATAATATTATGTGAAATGCGTCTTCCGCCCTCTTCCCCTGTTTGCTTTATCAAAAACTGGCAAGCACCTTACACTACCTAAGGCTACCCAAGGAACCTTCATCCTAACGGGCTGAGCAGAGGTCGTCAGCTGCTAGATAGGTAGGTAGGTAGGTAGGTAAAATTGGTAAAATTTAGGTACCTAGGTGCTCAAGATTGCCTCCTGGGTATATGAAAGCAGATTGTATAGCCTTAACACCTTCCTAGTCTCTTCGACGGCATTACGGAGGGGTTAGACAATCGAGTTTGCGGGCTTCCAAGTAGGTATTTGCTGAGGCGAATCTGGGCGCCCGCGCCCCGGCACGTCCCACGTGACCTTGCTCACCCTTGCTCGGACCTTGCTTAGACTCTAGCCGGGCCTTGCTCGCCCTTGCTCGCCCTTGCTCACTTTTGCTCACCCTAAATGACGCTTTCGGCAAGGCTGCGCCACAGCAGCTTGGGAATTGCCTCAACTCTAGCCGAGTAGTAGGCCCAGAGTTGGTCCCATATAAATATGGCCAAAGTGAGTCCCCTTTTCGAAAATAGAGTGCTGCCTTGCCTCTTGCATTCTCCACCCACTTTCACAACTACTAGCTTAGTGTTTTATGTACTGGTATATTTTCTGTGCCAGTATGCTGCGTACCATGTCAAACAATGTACTGGTATGTCGTATACCAACCTAGCTTTTGTGCTAGGATATCCGGGACTATCTCTCAATATATGTACGAGTTGGGGCTGATGCGGGCTTGTGTTCAATCGTCTGCAGACAATCGTGCCGCAAAAACGCGGGTAGTACGGAGTGCTTACTACTGATCGTAGTCCCAGTAGCGCGGGCCGAGCCGCTGTCAGGTCCAACCCCACACTCTATGGTCCACCAGGACACCACCACTTGTTATATCGCTTCAAAAAGCTCCTGAAGTAACATTTAATTACGAAAAAGAATCAATTAAAGGCACTTTCGTACGGTGGCTAGAAATGCATCTAAAAGGAAATTTCGATACCATTTGTGAAAAATAAGGATAAAGCTCGGCATGAAGCGGTATTGGGGACCTTAGAAGGTCGAGGGTACATACTTATAGATGAGCTAAATAGCGAAGGCTACTAAGTAGTGCTGTTAGGAATCGAACCTATCCTCCGTTAAGTAACCTACTGATCTCTTACCCCCCTGTTTCTTGGCATCCTACACATACTAGGTACTCTTGCCTCCTACTACGTATATCGTACATGTAAAGAGCGAAACTAGACATCTTCCTCAGGAAAGTCTTGGCTACGGCGCCACTATCCCACCTCCTTCCACGTGGGTCCCGAGTCCCGTCGGCGTGATCCTAGATCGGCGGCGAGTCTTCAGGACCACCGTCAGTCTCACCATCAGTCTTATCAGTAAGCTGATCCCTAGCTAAGCTCCACGCGAACTGGTAACCTGCCTCCAGCCCTGGGAAGCGGCCGTGCTCGTTGAGGTACTTGGGATCGTCTTCGCCATTATCCACCGCCTCGGCACCCTCAGCCATGGCGATAATCTTGCGGAGCGCCCATTGCAAGTCGAATACTAGTGTAATCTTCTCCATGTGCTTGGCCTGGATGCGAATAGTATATATGAGATGCTACGAAACAGAAGAGGTAACAGGGAGATAGGTTTATATCTTTATTACGTAGATCAGGAGAGCTACGTAAGGACTGAGGTTGCTCTGCAGTAAGTGCAACGGAAGATGGGATAAAGAGGTTGAACTGACTAACTAGCTAACTAGGAAGGAAATGAATAAAGAAGATGCAAGCTACATATATATATATATATATTAAGGAGGAGCAGAGCGTACGCGATGCTAGAGACCCGGATAGGTTTACTCGAAAGTATACTTTATCGAAGACTATAGTACGTACGATAGTCTAAGATAGATGAAACTAATATCGCTATATTAATCGAAAGGCAAGGAATTTAATGTAGTTATCGTATCTTAGTTATGCCCCTTAGTCGTAAAGATATAGTAATCGCTAGCCTAAAGGTATAAGAGGTAAGAGGAGAAAAGGGGTAAGACGTAAAAGTTACTTATTCGGCTATAGCGATACGACGAAGTAACTTAAGCGCCTATAACTAAGATAGATATATTAATCGGAGAACGACGAATCTAATAATAAAAACGAATCTTTAATTAAGGTAAAAATAATAAAGATAGTAATTTAATTAGGTAATGATTTAGATAATAAGCATAACATATCCTATATTTACGGAAGCTATGGTTACTTTATATAGGCATAAGGCCTATCGTAGCGTATTACGTAATATATTAAGAGGATATATCTTACCGTATTATTATAGCCTTTTTAGTTTAATTATACCGTAAGGGATAATTAAACTAAAAAGGGTAATACGATATATCCCGATTAATATCTTCCCTTAAAAACTACCGCGAAACTTCATTCTACCGGCTATTATTTAATTATTACCGTCGTGCCTTTAGCTTTTCGTTTAATATTATAAGGAGGCCTTTTTATTACTTTACGGCTAACTTAGCCCGGTTTACCTTCGCCGATCTAACCCGATCGGCGTTCTCCTTCTTTATTTCGGCTACCTTCTTCTTAGTTTCGTCCTAGCCCTCCTAATTAAAAGGATAATAAGAGAACGGGCGCGTCCCGAGGATTAACTAGGTATCTTTCTTCTACCTATACGGTATAAAGGTCTCTTCCGATTAAAAAGCCTTAATCCTTTTTAATCCGGGGAAAGGAAGGAAACGCGCTATAACCTTAACGAGGTTATCGTAACGGAGGTTTACGTCCGTTAATACGAGGGAGTAAAGGGAATTAAGTACTAAGGCTATAAAGGAACGGCGGACTTTGGTTTATACGATAAACCGAACGGAAGATTTATGGCTAAGGGGCTTACCGATCGGCGTACTTTAAGCGGATACTATAGCGTTAATAAGGTTAATTCGCTTTTAATAATCTACGGTTTATCGAAGACGTTTAACGATACCTACCCCTTCCTTTAAAACTCGAACGCTATAAAATTACTTTATTACTTCGGCGTATTTTCTTATGGTATTAAAGGGGTTAAGCCTCTTATTTTCTTAGGCTTAACGGGCGACTTCGATCGGTCGTTTAAAGATAAGATACGGTAGAATACCGCTTTAAAACCCGTAGTTAAAGCTATCTTATTAATTTATTAACGCGACGTAATAAGTAGATTAAGGAATTATATTAAGCTCGAGATTACCGTCTTTTTATATTCGCCGTAGCTAGCCGAACGCGTACGCCGCCCGATCGAAGGCGCCGTTTCTAACTATATTAAAGCTAAATAATCTCCGGGGCTTAGAAAGGTATAATATTACGGCGAAGTAAGCTTAAGAGAACTTTAAGGGGTCGGTAATAGCTCGTTCGGGGTTTATTAAATCCGTATAGATCGTAAAGATTAAAATAAAGGTAGGGTTATCGAGGAGGTACTAACGAATTAAGAAGTTAAACGATCCTACCGATCGATAGCCTATCGTTTAGTACGGGTTTACTTCGAAGGCCGCCTTTCGGCCTTCGAAGTCGTAGCTAATTATGATATAGAAGGCGCGGATATCTTCGTTAATAAGGTAGTCGTAACGGGCGAGGTATACGAAAGAGTTAGCTAGGGTTACTTTCGTTTATTCCTATAGCTATTAGTTTATAGTTCGGGGTCGATTAGCGAATAGCCGGAAGGCCTAGGCTATATCGGATCCTAACTCGATCGGACCCTTTCCCGAATCGTAGTTATTTAAAGTACTAAGTTAATATTTCTTTATATTACTTTAATTATCTTTATTACCGTAAATCTCCCGTAAGAGTTTAATTAAATCGGTTAGATCGGCGCGACGTACGTTTTTATAAACGGAGGAAAGGAAGAAGGAAAGAGGGATTCCGGCGGAGCGGAAAGAAAATATCGTAAAAATAAATAAAAAGAATTAAGGAAGGGAGGGAAAAAAAGATAATAAGTTAAAGGTAAAAGTAAGAATTTAAATTAATAATAAGAAAGATAGGCTAGAGATTAATAAGAATATAATAATTATAGGGAAAGGGTTTCGGAATGGAATGCCTAAAGAGGAAAAAAAGAGGGAGGGAGGGAGACGTATTAACGATATAGTTAGATATACCTTTACGGCTAACGCTTTAGGAAAGCGCGTTCTTTTACGTACGTATAAAGCTATAATAGGAAACGCGTTAACTTATAGCTTCTTATTATATACTCTTAATAAAGTAATAAATACGTACGTTCGTAGACTCGTAATTAAACGTAGGCTAAGGTAGGTATTATCGAGACTTTCCTAAGTACGGTACTTACGACCTAAGTAACGTATTCGACTTTCTCGTTCTCGTCCGACCTTTCCTCTTATTTCTCGCTATTTTACGGTTCCGATCTACTTCCTTTCTTTTATTTCCTAAGTCCTTTATCTTCGTTTTAATTCGTTTTTCGATTTTTTTTAATTCTAGATTTATAATTTCGTCGTTCCTATCTTTCTTTCTTATATATATATATATATAATAAACCCTATTATTTAAAAGTAATTCCTTAAACTAAACCGGGCGTCCGCCTTTAAGCTATTTAAGTAGTTAAAGGCTACGGGAATTACCGACGAGGAGATTACCGGGGCGTTTAAAAAGGTTAAAGAGGATAAGAGAAAAGCCGTAACGTATTAACGGGTTAAGTCGATACCGCCGCCGGTAAACCTAATAAATAAGTAGCCCGACGAATCCTTCCGTTACTTACCCTCTACCGAGGAGTTTCGGGACGTTAATCGGCTAATTCTTAAGCCTTAGTAGTGTAGTGGTGCGGTGGATCTAGGCTACGTAGCCTTTTCGATGTATATTTATATAGGTCGCGTACTTATATTTTCATTAGCTAGACTTAGACCTATAGATATTACAGCCTATAGCTATTCACTCGTTTCTTGCCATGCCTTTCTAGTCATCCTCGTCTTTGCCTTTCTAGTTCTTCCTTTCCTAGCTACCGTTTTTAGCTGGCCGATTAACCGATTATAGCTATTTATAGCTATAATCTTAATTGATCGGTACTGGGCTAGTTATTAGTAGTTAGGCAGTCCTTGTTTCGTGCTTCCGTTAGCGTGCCTACGCTGCTCCTGTTTAATAGCGACTACCTAGTAGCTCGAACCTTACCTTATCTTAGGAGTGACCTTTTGCGACCGTTTTTATAGTTATTAGGTTTAGGATTTGTCGATTAGGAGATTCCCTGTTTTTTAGTTAATTAGGAGCTATTTTCGTAGCTCCAGAGCCGTTTTCGTAGCTTTTAGATTAAGCCTTTTTAGGAGGTTAGGATTAACGGGAGGGTAGATAACCATGGCGACCATCTTAACAACCCACGCCCTCCTATTAGCTTTTGATTAGCTTGCTTGAAAGCTCGTTCGCCGATTAGTAGATCTATCTTATCCTCGTTTCTTAATTATCTCTTTTAAAGGAGCTATGCCCGTTTTTATCTGGTTCCGTCGTCGTTTTTTAAGTACCTAGATGGTAGTTTTCTCGCCCTTAGTTAATCTAACTAAGTTACCGCTACTACTCCTTTTTATAACAACCTCGTACGCGCTTGAAGGCATTCGTTCTTTACCGATTAGTTTATTTTAATTGCAAGAGGCTTACCGATAGCTCCGATCGCCTTTGTTTTATCCCTGCTAGTTAGTTACGGTACCTAGGGAGGTTTCTCCTCCCTAACCGATAGGTACTACGATGCCTTTAATTACTATACGAAGATACCGATAGACCTTATACCTACGAACCTGATCGGGGAACCTACCGATTAGCGCGAAAGACCCATATAAACGATACCGCGATACGAAATAGATAAAATATTAAATAAAATAGCCTAGAAACAGCCATAGGAATAGTAACGCCTAAAGACCCCTCTTATCGCCCTTACCGATATATAGTTGGTAGGAAGAGCCAGAGCCCCTAGAACTACGTATAGGGGAGGGATCGAGGGTTAAGGGAAGCCCGGTAGATACTGCCGGACGAATATAGGAACGGTTACTAGAAACGAGTTATAGAAACGGGCATTGAATAGGATATATTAATTAGTTTATAGGATTAGGAATTAGTTAAAAAGGATCGGCAAAAGATAGCCATGGACGAGAAGGACGGGATTACGTTGCATCAGATTTTTTACGGGATTATTTCTTCGTTTCTTACGGAAGCTACGCTTGTTTTACCTGCCCGTTATAGTTCTTATTTCCTAACTATTAATCCCTGTTATTTCTTGATGGCCCTAATAAACCTAGCTCGCTCCTAGTTAATTAGGGTTAATTAGGAATAGGTTGATCAGGTTAGTTTATAGGTTATAGCTCCGCTAGCCTAGTTATTATCGGACCTTTCCTAATCTTTCCTATTTCCTGTTAATCGTTAATTAAACTAGCTTAGCTCCTAGTTAGTAGCGATTAAATAGGTTTAGGATTAATTAGGATTAATCAGGCATAGTCAGGCACGGTTACAGTTACCTACTCCACCACCTACTTATTGCTATTATAATTATCTCCCGTTATTTTAGGATTAACCAGAGACCTACCTGACTTATCCTGTTGGCCTTTAATTAAATTAGCTAGCTTTTAGTTAATTAGGGTTAATCGGGATTAGGTTGATTAGGTTATTTAGGTTTAATAGGAACGAAAGCTACCGCACCTATTGCTATTAGGAGTTTAATTACTCCTTACGGATCAATTAAACTAGGGAGGCTGTAGTGGTACGGTAGATCTAGGCTACGTAGCCTTTTCGATGTATATTTATATGGGTCGCGTACTTATATTT